TGCGGCCGGTAGCGGCCACTGCACTCCAGTCTGGGTGACGGAGTGAGACTCCAACACACACACAAAAAAGAAAAAGTTTGCTGACTCCTGGTCTATGCCATTAAATATTCTTATAAAACACCAAGTTAATAGCTGTTTAATGTTCTACTTACATGTCCAGCAGGATTTGCCTAATTTCTAACAGCCCAGCAGCAAATCCTTTTTATAAGGAGTACAGCACAGTGTCTGCAATCCAAGATAGATGGGCAGAACAAGCCCAGTGAAGGAGGGGTGTGGGAGAAGGTGTTACCTTGCCAGTGAGGTGCAGGTGCTGACACAGGGCAGTCTGCCAGGCACAGATCCAATGGGGATCCTCTAGGTCACAGTAGCAATAATACAGTAGCACCTCCCCTTGATCATTGCCCTGGCCACTGTAATAAGAAAACCAAAGGCAAGGAGCATTTGAGTCACAGGTATCAGGAAGCCATAGTTCATACAACCAGGCAGTGTCGGGGGAAGGCTAAGCAGGAGATACTCGGTGTCTATCTTTGTTCCTACTACTGTTCTTCTGAAATGAGAAGCAATTCCTTTTTGTATTTGTTCTACAGAAGGCAGTATCTGTGCTGGACTTCTAACTTTACAAAAAGTGAGTTTCTTTTTCTCCTCATTTAATAGCTATATTCAAGAGACAGGTATTAATAAGAATACCACTTAGTAGAAAAGCTGGAAATTTTATTCCATTCTGGTTTGTCCTCTAACACAAGGTAGTCTATGTTTGAATCTCTTATCATTAAAAAAAGCTTTACTTCCATTTTTTTCATATAATCCTCTTACTTATGCAGTTTATTATTATCCTCATTTTACAGCTGAGTAAATTTAGGCCAACTCTCCCCAAAGTGAGACAGCTATGAAGAGACAGGACCAGAATGCCAGTCTTCTAATATAAGAATCTACAGAATCTATACTCTTTCCACTGTACTGTGCTGTCTTATACCAGCTAGCTGTGGGACCTGGGCAGATCCCTTACCATTTCTAAGCTTCAGTTTCCTCATCTGTAAGATCAGAGAAATACTGCATTTTCCAAAGTATGTTTTGAAGCTGTTCTATTAGATCACATTCGAGAAACCCTGCAGACAGTAACCTTCCTCTTTGAAAATCCCAGTGAATGCTCTTAAACTACTGAAGGCTCTGAGAAGCCCTGCAGTAACATTCTAACTTAGTGCTTCCCAAATTTGTCTTTAGTACCACTATGTTACTTTCATCCTCTAGAACAGTGTCTCACAGAACATATTTTAGGGAATGCTACAGTAGATGATAATTAAGTCCTATCCAGCTCTGGAATCTGTGACTCTCTCATCAATAGCCTCATAGTATTTTAGGGCCTAGTTCCTCCATCAAACCTTGTGTATTTTAGATTCTATTTTCCTTTCTCTAAACTTCCACAACAAATTATTATCTGTATCATACAATTTAACTGATAATTATATTGCCTGTCTTGTATCATTTGCTAATCGTCTCGCATATCCTTCTTTGTTTTTCTAACTAGAAAGCAAATTCCTTGACGTTTGGGGTCATACTGAAATCAAAGGGTCACATCTGTATAGCACTTTATGGTCCATGCTCACCATCCTACATCATTCATAAAGCAGTACTGGGAGGTAGGCAGAGCAGGCATATTATCCCAATTTAGAAGATGAGGAAATGAACGTCCAGAAAATTTTAGTGACTTGCTAAGTGTGACTCCTAGTTTAATCCACTTTTTTCTGATAAACAAAAGGAATGTGGTACTGAGTAAAAAGTGACAAAAAAGGGTCATATTTGGACTACAACTGGCCCTTGAAAAACCTGAGTTTGAACTCCCAGGTCCACTTATATGTGGATTTTCTTCCAGTTCTGCCACCCGAGACAGCAAGATCAACCCCTCCTCTTCCTTTTCCTCCTTAGCCTACTTAACGTGAGGATGAGTAGGATGAAGATCTTTATAATGTTCCACTTCCACTTAATGAACAGTAAATGTTTTCCTTTTTTTTTGAGTTGGAGTCTCACTCTGTTGTCCAGACTGGAGTGCAGTGGCCGCTCCCAGCCACCGCAGCCTCGACCTGCGGGGCTTCGGCGATCCTTCCGCCTCAGCCTTCCAAGTAGCTGGAACTACAGGTGCACGCTACCACGCTCGGCTAATTTTTGATTTATTGTAGAGATGAGGTTTCGCCAAGTTGCCCAGGCGGGTCTCGAACCCATGGACTCAGGCAATCCATTCACCTCAGCCTCCCAAAGCACGGGATTACAGGCTAAGCCACCGAGCCCAGCTGATTTTCTTAATAACATTTTCTTTTCTCTCACTTACTTTGTTGTAAGAACATAGTATATGATACATATACAACATAAGTGTTAACTGATTGTTCATTTTATCAGTAAGGCTTTAGCAGCCAGCTAGCAGTAAAGTTTTTGGGGGGTCAAAAGTTATATGAAGATTTTCAATTATACAAGGACATCTCTAGATCCTGCAATATTAAAGAGTTAACTGTATTTCTAATTATCAAACAATTCAGGAACTGCTTTAAGTCAGACATCTGTTTTCTGGAATTCTGTAAACAGGGCTACCAACCAGTGCCATGGATTGGTACTGGTCCGTGGCCTGTTAGGAACTGGGCAGCACAGAAGGTAAACAGCAGGCAATTGGAGCTCCACCTTTTGTCAGATGAGCAGCAGCATTAGATTCTTTTTTTTTCCCCTTTGTTTTATTTTAAAGAAGTGGGGTAAAAGTCAGGATTAGGTACACAATTGGTTAATGTGCAGGTAAAGTGTAGACCTCCCACTGGTCCTTGCTTTCTCTGGTTTAGGATCAGATACGCTTAGTGATGTTATGTGCCTCTCCCTCCCTATTGTGAACTGCGCATGTAAGGGATCTAGGTTGCGTGCTCCTATGAGAAGCTAATGCCTGATGATTCCCCCCTCGTGCCTCCCCTGTCCCAATGCAGGGAAAAATTGTCTTTTATAAAACTGGTCCCTGATGCCAAAAAGGTTGAGGACCACTGCTGTAATATAATGATTTGGTAAGTTCCTTAAAGCCAGGATCTAAACTTCTAATCTTATGATTCAGGTCTAAAAGTTAACAGCCTTCCTAAAACATATTTAGCTCAAAAATCTGTATTTGGGTATAAAAGCCCCTTTTAAAGCTCTGACTAGAGGGGTCATTAATGTCTCTTGGTCTTCCCACTTGTCTTTAAATACAATTTTCTGTTCTTTACTTCTCCCCTAGATGATATGAAGGACAGTTTCTAAGAAATTTTGTGAACATTGTAAACTGACTGGGGGTACATGCTACTGCACAGTCTATGGTCTCCTGCTATACATATTGTGTATGTTATTGGCCTAACTTAGGCCTGTAGAAAAATTCTGTGCCTTAAAGATCTAGCTGCTCTGAGTAGTTTAAGTTCCTGATAGCCTGGGTAAAGAGCAGACAGTGCTGCCAGATAGAATACACTGAAAAGTAACCACTCTGAGGTATGTGGTAGCCAACCTCCAAAAGGTTCCCAATGATCTCTGTCTCCTAGTATTTAGATCATGCGTAGTCCTGTCCTACACTGTATTGAGGTTAGTCTATGTGATTGATAGCATTAAGAAAAAGTGATGGCATGGCAATTCTGAGTAAGATCATGGCTTTTGTCTTGGTGTCTCCATCTTGCTCATATCAATTGCTCTAGGTGAAGCCAGCTGCCATGTCATGAGAACACTCAGGCAGTCTACGTGCAAAAGCCCCTGGAGAGGAACTGAGGCCTTTAAGAGTCACTGTGAAAACTGAGGTCTGCTACCAACCACATGAGAGAGCCTGGAAGCAGATTCTCTGGCCCCGTCAAGCACTCAGATGACTGCAACTTCCTGAGAGACTCTGAGCTAGTACCACAAGCTAAGCTGCTCCTGGATCCCTGACCCTCAGAAACTACATGAAATACTGTTTGTTTTAAGCTGCCAATGTGTGGGTTAATTTGTTACACAGCAAGATAACTAATACAGAGGATATGGATCTACAATTAGGAGAGAGAGGAGAGGTAACAGGATAATAAGTTTGAGGTTTCTTAGTAAAAGGACAAACTTTTATACCTCAACATCTTACAAGTTCATACTGATGGCAAGAAACCACCCAGAAAAAAATTCAATCATATTGATTATACTCTGTTTAAGAAATTAGAAGAGAGCATAATGCAGTTTGAAAGATTCCACTTAGGGGAAAAAAAAAAAGGTTAAAACAAAGAAAGTTTAGATGCATCAAAAGGTAAGCTGGGCCAAGCATGGGGTTCACACCTGTAATTCTAGCACTTTGGGAAGCCAAGGAGGGAGGATTGTTTGAGGCCAGGAGTTCAAGACCAGCCTGGGCAATATAGTGAAAGCCCATCTCTATAAAAAATTAAAACACAAAAAATTTAAATTTATTTATTTAAAATTAAATTTTTTATGTGCCACCTGGGTGTGGTGGCACATGCCTATAGTCCTAGCTACTTGGGAAGCTGAGGCAGGATGACCAATTGAGCCCAGGAGTTCAAAGTTCTATGAGCTATGATTGAGCCACTGCATTCCAGCCTGAGCTACAGACTGAAACCTTGTCCCCACCCCCACCAAAAAAATTTTTTTATAAAAAGGCAAGCTGCATTGACTTGTCTTCTGAAAAATGTACTATGTGGAATATTATATTCCTCAATAAATCCTAATAAATGATGCATTTGTCTGGGTACATATATCAAGTCATCTGACTTTACACATAATAGAATCTAACTTACAGGGGCTTTTTGGGGGGCTTACTTTTACCTACTCTATTTATTTAAATACATTTAAATCAAGGTATACTTCACAAGTGAAATACGTGGGTCTTAAGTATACAGTTTGATCACTTTTGACACATGGGCACACCTGTGTAATCTGCATATGCCTCTCAAAACACAGAACATTTCCAATACCTCAAAAACACTTGCCTTGTGATTTCCCAGTTAAACTCTGTGCCAAAAGTAATCTTTCCCTCATAAATTTGTTTTGTCCTCAAGTACCTGAAATCAGAAAACATGCACTACTTTGGCTATTTTCACTCAGCACAAGGATTCTGTGATTCCCTCAAGCCTTTTCCTACATACAGCAGTTCACAATGCTGTGCAATATTCTTTTATGTCTGCACCAGTTTATTCATTCTCCTATTGGATATCTGTAGTTGTTTTCAGCTTTTTGTTATTATGAATAAAACTACTATGAACATTCCTACACATGGCTTTGTGTAGACATGTTTTTATTTCTGTTGGTCACATACCCAGAAGTGGATCACAAGGACAATGCATGTTTAACATTAAAAACAAACTACTGAACATTTTCCCCAAATGTTTGTGTTTTTACATACCCACCAGTAATGACTGGGTGTTTAAGCTTTTCCACATCCTCATCCACATTTGGCAAAGTTATATTTAGCCATTTTAGGGTTGCAGTACCTCGTTGTGGTTGTAAAGATATTTTAAAATCAAACCAAAATACAGAATGAAAATCTTACCTTATCAGCTCCTCAGGGCTAAAGCGGCTTATGTCAGGAAGCCAAGCAGACACTTCATGGCTATGCATAAGGCGCTCTTTTAGAGAGTTCTTTTGGTCTGAAGACATAAGACTTTTTGCGGTGCTCAATGCCACAGCCAGTTGCTTTAAAATAGAAGCTGTCTGGTGATAGGTTTCATCAGCATGTTGTGTTGCCACATGTCTATGGATACTGGTCGGGTCTGTGAATAGTTGCTGACAGCACTTCCACCATTTTTCTTTACATTCAAAATTCCTTTTTGCTGGAACTTCTTTGGTTTTAACAAAAAGGGCAAAGGCCTGCAATTATATTTCAAATGTTAACACTTTAATAACCTTAGGGTTCTGGCTAACATAAGTGTCACTGAAAACCCTTATCTTTCCACAAGGATTTCTAGTTGTATGTCCTATTTTTTTAATAGAAGAATTCTCTGAGGAATAACACTTCTTTCATTAGTAAGCTTTAAAAGAGATTATTAGAGAAACAAAAATGGGCTTTATAATATGGAGATTAAGTAATTCCCAGCACAAGTTTATTCTCAGGATGTAAGGCTCTAAGTCACACTGGAATAAACCTAATACAGTTTGGCCTTGTTGTGCTTTCTGCAGCCCACACGCTACAACTGAAATGATATGGCATTATACCCTGGCCTTCCACAGTTGGCCTCTCTCCCAGCCATTATCTTCTTCTTCCACACATGCCTGACATAGGGTCAAACTGGGACACCCTGCTGTATCTATCTTCTTGTCACTGTTCATGCTGTTTCCAGCAGGTGGAATGTGCAACTCTAATCTCCTCTCCCACTTTTAAACTTTCAGAGTCCATCTTAGAGGTCACCCCTGACATGAACTACTTTGTGGTTCTCCTATTAAATACTATTTCTCAATCTTCTGAATCTTCATAAAAATTTCTCTTTATTTTTCCTCTTAAGGGGGCTCTGAACTTGTAAATACTGGGTCTCCTGTTTACTATTTGTTTCTTAGAGAAAAGACACAAATCTTCTGAAGGAGCTACTCAATCATTTGGAAAATGTAGCCCATAAGAAATTATAAAATGTTTATTAACATAATTAGAATTATTTATATCCTTGCCTGGTATAATATAGAATATAGACCATGGCATTCCTTTACAATGTAATCCCTCCTCTTGTTTTCAGCCTAATCTTTTAACTAGTTTTCTTGTACAATCTTCTTAGTTCAATCAAACCAGTATATTTACAGTCCCTTTAATATGACTTAAACACTCTTGCCTCAGAGCTTTGCTTAGACTAACTCTATTGTCAGGAACGTCCTTCCTCCTGTGTAATTCACCAAAATCTTAACTAAGTAAAAAGACTAAATATTTTAAAGATGTCAATTCTTTAATCTAAAGCATATATTTAGTGCCATTCTAGCAAAATCTGACAAGGGTCCTTCAGGAAATTGACAAAATTATTCTGAAGTTGATGTGACGGTCAAGGTGCGATGGAAATAACCTACGGTCCATCACAACTCACTTCCCCTTCCTTCCTGGGCAAAATATATTTCCCAGTCTTCTTTGCAGTTGGGCTTGCCTATATGACTAAGTTCTTTTCAATAGGATATGAGTGGAAGTGATATGTGACACCTCCATTTCTGGTCCATAAAAACCTTTCATGCAGGCTTTTCAGATTTACTGGATGAAGACCTCGGACTGTGTGTGTTGAGGACTGCAGAGATAATACCTGCCTAGATCCTTGAAGCCTGCATATTAATGAGGATCTTCCCCAGCTCTAAGTCCAAACCTCCCTAATGTGTTGAGCCCATTACAGGTTCGGGTCTATTTATTACTGCAGCCTAGGCCACCATAATTAATAAATGAAAAACATTCTATAAGAGTAATAAGGAATAACAATATGCCAGCTATTAACATATTAAATATATAAAGCTACAATAAGCAAATGCAGTGGTACTAGCCCCCTTTATTAGGCATATTAAAAAACTAAAAACATTAATAGAACATCCTTAACTCATCTTTTACTCCTGGGTCCTACATCCAGTCCACCAGCTACTCACAAAATATATCCAGAATCTAACCACTTCTCACCCCCCTTCTTGGCTACAACTTTGCTGATCCAAGCCACCACTATCTCTTTTCCAAATTATTACAATAGTTTCCTGGTCCCCCTCTTTCCATACTTATCCCCATAATTTATTTTCCACTAAGCCCAAATCATTACTTTACAACCTAAATTAGATGATATCATTTCTCTGCTGAAAATTCTCTTCTTATTCTCTAGCAATAAGAAGGGCTCTTCTTATTCTCTAGCAAAGTCCTTCCAATGACCTGGAAATCCTTATATGACAGCTCTCCTATCCCTCTCCTACCTCATCTCCTACCATTGTAGACTCTTGGCTTTTGCTCAAATACGATACACACCATGGCCTTTGCCTGGGATGTTCTTCCTCCAAATATTTGTATGGCTTGGTCACTCTCTCTTTCTTCAAATATCAAATATCAATGAGGTACTTTCCTGAACAGCATATATAAAAGAGCAAACCGAAATCCCCTTAAACTACTTTGTTTTTCCCTGTAAAATTTATCACCATTTGATATGTTACATTATTACTTATTACCTGTGTACTCTCTCTATAAAGTCTTCTATAAGATGATTTTCTAAAATACATTTAATTCTGCTATGGGTACAACGTAATGGATAAATTTCTTATACTAGCAATAGGAGTATATACCATCTTTCTGGAACACTAACAGAACCTCAATTATATTCATATGCTTTTTAGAGACTGTTCCTAAGGAAGGAATCTGAACTCCAGGTAAATATTAGTAAAAATATTACAGATAACACTATTAGCTATTTTCAAAAAGAAAATGGAAATTAATGCTCCCAGTCACTGCAGCCTCGACCTGCTGGGCTCAGGCAATCTTTTCGCCTCTGTCTTCCAAGTAGTTGGAACTATAGGCATACACCACCATACCTGGCTAATTTTTTTATTTATTGTAGAGATGAGGTCTTGCCAAGTTGCCCAGGTTGGTCTCAAACCTATGGGCTCAGGTAATCCTCTCACCTCAGCCTCCCAAAGTGTTGGGATTATAGGTATGAGCCACCGCACCCAGCATGTTGCCTATTTTTTAATATGGCATTTATCTTCTTACTGATTTGTGTCTTTTTTTTTTTTTTTGAGTTGGAGTCTCACTCTGTTGCCCAGACTGGAGTGCAGTGGTCGCTCCCGGCCACTGCAGCCTCGACCTGCTGGGCTCTGGTGATCCTTCCACCTCAGCCTTCCAAGTAGCTGGAACCACGCCCAGCTAGTTTTTGATTTATTGTAGAGATAAGGTCTTGTCAAGTTGCCCAGGCGGGCCTCGAACCCGTGGGTTCAGGTAATCCACTCACCTCAGCCTCCCAAAACGCAGGATTACAGGCTGAGCCACCGAGCCCGACTTGATTTGTGTCTTTAATGCTCTTTTTGTTGCCTACATGTTATCAAATATTTTTACTAGCTTGTCATCTGGTTTTCAGTTTTATTTATCTTTTTTGATGTATAAATATAGGTTAAATCGTATATATGATTATCAGCCTCTCAAGGTACCTTCCCTCCTGGTCTAATAGGAGAGGGCATTATATTACATATATATACTTTGAACAATTTTTCAGTTTTTTTTCCAGTTACTTAAACAATTTTTCAAATGACTCTGAAGACACCTCTATAAAGCATCCCAAACTGGAACATCTGGAGAATAACATTGCAGATATGGAACATCACTGTTGGATCTTCCTCAACCTATACATGATTGTTGTATGCTGAAGCAGCAGAGTGGAGTAGCTAGAAATACATTTCCCCAAAAATACTGATTAAAAAGGAAAAAAGAATAATTTTATAATGGAGAAAACTGGACATTTCTTCATTCAAGTAATCAAAATTAACATCATCAATAATAGGACTAATTGACATTGTGAATCACATGAAAGAATGCAGCAAGATGGACACAGCATCTCTTAAGGCATAGTCTTGCTAATAAAAAAAAACCTGAATCAAGTCATAAAAAAATGAGTCCATGCCAGGTATAGTGGCTTACACCTGTAATCCCAGCACTTAGGGAAAAGGAGACAAGAGGATTATCTGAGCCCACAGGTTAAAGACCAGCCTGGGCAACATGGCAATATCTCATCTTTACAATAAATCAGACATGGTGGCTCATGCCTGTAGTTCCAGCTAGTTAAAAAGCTGAAGTGGAAGGATTGCCTGATCCCAACAGGTCGAGGCTGTGGTGGCTGTGAGCATGCCACTGCATTCCAGCCTGGGAGACAGAGTTAAACCCTGATTCAAAAAATAAAAAATAAAAAAAGACAGAAAACATGAATCCAAATCAAACTGAGGGACATTTTGCAGAATAACTCACTGGCAATTTTCAATAATGTCATGATTTCAGGGAAACATTGAGTGTTCCAGGTTAAAGAAGATGAAAGAGACATGACAACTAAATGTTAACATGTGACCCTATAGTAGATTTATAAAGTCATTCTGGGGACAATTGTTGAAATATGAATGGACTCTGGACAAAGGGGATAGGTGAGTCCTCTGTATACTTCTTGCAACTTTTTTCATAAATTTGAAGTTATTGCAAAATAGTATTTTTAAATGTTTTCTGTACCCTTTGGGTTTCATTTTCAACGAAATTTGTATGAGATAAGGGTGGAGGAATGGGGTCAGGAAATTATAAGCAGAGCCAATAAAAAGTATCTCTGCATGAGAGTATAACAGATCGGAGATAAGAAAACTAAGTCTCAACTGCATTTCCTCAGACAGGTCATTTTCCTTCCTATGAGCCTCCGGTTCTCCATTGTTGAAACGAAGGGGTTTCAGTCAATTGTTTCTGAAAAATGGCATAGAACAGCAGCATCAATACCACCCTATCATAGCCCGATCTCAGCTATACTCAGTAAGCCTGCAACATTCTGGGATGCTTTGAACTTTCTCTAAAACAGAACTCACACAGAGGGTAATGATCCAAAATCTTACCTCACTAGGTCAGCAGGACTCAGTAATAGTCTCAAATTTGGTAGCCTTACTAGATGACAGCTGTTCTACTACCTGCCTATTCTCCTTATAACTAGATTTCCTGAGTTCCTGAGATTCCTCCCCTAACCCTGGGTAGGGAGTAGAATTTAACCCATCTGTCTACCCTCCTCATGTACTACATCGTAACTGTTTGAAGGCCACACCTTACCTATGATTCTCCTTTGCCTGGCACTGAATTAACACCACTGGTTAATGTCCCTGACTAGCCTTACCTTGAGCTGGAGGGCAACCTCGATAAGGTACTTCTAAATGCACCTGCATTAGCTACACACACATGATCATAACACATCAATAGCAGTTTTACCTTTTTCTTTGCAAATGAGTATTTCTTCTTTGTATTGCCATTTAGTTCTGCTTTGAGACTGCTGTTGGGATTAATAAGACTTGTGTCTTTTAAATCCAGATCAGAAAATCTTAAAACACAGGCCTCCAGGTCATCTTCCTGGTCTGATGAAGTAGAGGAAGGCATCTGGTTCAGTTGTAATAGTGGGGCAGAAATTCCTTGCAGTTAGGTGCCTCCTATAATATAAGCAAGGGAGTAATAGCCACAGACATGCCAGTCTTTGATTACTTCTTAAACATGAAGCTAATCAGTCATGCAAATCAGCATGGGCATAGTAGTCCAAGCTATCCATTCATTCACTTTGCTCATTCAATCGTATTTACTTAGCAACTATTCTAGGTCGAGCACTGTTCTACACACTGGGAATATAGCAGTGAATGAAACAGAAAACATTCCTATCATCTTAGCATTTACTAAGGGTTTCCAGTGAGGTAAGGTAAACAAATATATAAACTAATTTTTTTAAAAAGTCAGATGGTGAGAAGGTTATGAAGAAAAATAAGCAGGGTAAGGAGGCAGCGTAATGGAGGAGTCCTTTAAACACAGAGGGACCCTGAGGCTAGTAGCATTTGAGCAGAATTCTGAATTAGGCAGTCAGCCATGTAGATACCAGAAAAGCACCACATACAACCAAAATCAACCATGCTGTGTGTTAGTACCTTCAGTTATAAACTCTGCTCTTTCTGCTCCCAATTTCAGAGCTGTGCAAATTCCCTTCCTTAGAAAAAAATAGCTACAAGAGAGCTCTGCTGTAATGATCCAGAAGAAATATCAAAATTGCTACTGAGGCCAAATCTTGTCAAAATGGACACTTATAAAGGAACATACTGCATTCCTTCTTTGATAAAGCAAATGTGACAGGTGACAAACACTGAGAGGCAACAGGAAGCACTGAAACCAGGGGATTTGGTTTGTGGTGCAAATGGTTACAAGTATATGAACCTGGGCACGTTATTTAATTTCTCTGAGTTATAATTCTCTAATTGGGGATGGCAGTATCTACCCTGCAGGACTGTAATGAGAAATAGAAAGAAATATATAAAGTGTCTGGTACATACTAGGGTTTGATGGCAATATTACTAATATTTCAATTTAATGTTGCATTTTAAATTTAACATTAAAAATTGGAATCTTTAAAAATTAGCTGTGGCAGATTATACTTTCCAAAATGGCTACAGTAATATTTACTTCTAGTCTATTCTCCCTCTCCTCAAGCCTAAGCAGGTTTGTAACTGCTCCCCAAAATAAAGTATGGCAGAAGTGCTACTATATTGCCCTCTCGTTTTAGGATGCCCACTCTGGGGAGACCAACCACTGTGCTGTATGCCAATCCAGCCCATGTTGGAGAGACCACACATTATAGAACCTGTCGGAGAAGAACTGAGGCCTCCAGTTAACAGCCAGCATCAACCACCAGACCCTTCAGATGGTTTCAGCTCAGTCTTTCAGCTGAGAGCAGAGACAAGGTACCCCTGCTGTGACCTGTCCAAATTCCTGCCTTATAGCATAATAAATGGCTCTTTTATGTTACTAGTGAACTGGTAAAGTTTGTCTCTTGAAGACAATCTTGGAAGAGGTAGGCTGAGGCAGACGCTCCAAGCTCTGAAAGGAATAGTAGTAATGTGGAGAAATTCCAGGTTCCACAATGGCAAGTAGAGGGAGAGAAGCACTGAGAACTAGAAAAAGGTGGGACGTACTGGTGATAAACTTTGCCGGTTCATAGCTTTGCCTACTGGATACTTCAACTGGGTGAAGGCAAATGAGAAGCAGCTTATGCGTGGAGGAACACACACTGCTTGTTAGTAGTGCTGGATGGGATTTATGGAGACTCAACAAACACACATCACCAACTTTTTTTATAAAGGACCTCTGTTCTTAGGATTCATAAATCAAGGTATCACTTGCACTATACAAAGTGGGTTCAAATTAGCTAAGTGATACCCACATGGGATTCAAAATTAGCTGTTATAGGGGTGGGGCCAATAATACATATTTATGAAACCCCAATTGTACCTGTATTTAAAAAATGAGTGAAAGAGACTGGGTGGAGAAATGTTACTTCTTTAATTTCTCCTTTCTTTCTTGGTTCTGTTGAGAACAAATCGCTACTCCACCCAAATCTGCAGGCCTTCCAGGCGAAGGAAAATAAGTCAAAGACTCATTCAACACACTTCTTCCATGCCCACAGCTGTTTTACTGTAAAGGTAAAGAAACTGCTTATATAATTTTCAAATTAAAATTCTCTCAATAAATATTTACTGAGGGTCTTCTATGTGTCAAGCATTGTCCTCGTACAGTGAACAACTTATGTATAGTCTACCTATAAGGGCAATGCATTTGAGAGGTAACCTTGTCAAAAGGATTACCATACAATCTGATCCCACTCATACATTTGGTTTTCTTTCCCAACCTCTCTCTGTATGATCTAGCAGTTAGTGGTCTATTCCAGCATTTCTGCTGCTTTGTTTCCCTTTCTCTTCTTCCCCTACCCATATCCCCCTAACCATGTATATCAAGAGTGAGCTCAAATGTCACTTCTTTTACTTACGGTATCTTCTCTGCTACCCCAGTGCCACTCGTTCTTCTGATGATCTGAAATATTAGTTCCTCTAATGCCCTAGACTCATCTCAGACAACACTCCCCAGCATATTTCCTAGTCTGGTCAAACTGGACCATGCCTAGTTCCACAAATGAACCATGTTCTCTTCCTCTCCCCTCACTCTAAATCTTCTTTCAGTGTCACCTTATTTCAATTTATTAATATATTCTGAACTATCAGTTGTGCCTCTGCTAGGTGACTAGCACATAAAATGATAGATGGTACAGAGTATGGGGGATGTAGCTTTGAATGAAACAGATGAAGTACTTGGAACTTATATTCTGGTAAGGAGAGGCAGTAAATAAACTTAAAAACACAAAAATACTAGATAGTGATAAGAGCTTCTCAGTTTGCTAGATCTTCTTCATCATCCCAACCGCTAAATATTGAAGTGCTTTATCTATACTCATCTGCTAGGTGATGTCATCTACTCCCAAGGACTTAAAAAACTATATTTTTCTGGTTGGGCGTGGTGGCTCAAGCCTGTAATCTCAGCACTTTGGGAGGCCGAGGTGAGGGGATTGCCTGAGCCTACAGATTCGAGAACAGCCTGGGCAACTTGGCAAGACCTCATCTCTACAATAAATCAAAAAATTACCCAGGAGTGGTAGCGCACACCTGTAGTTCTGGCTACTTGGAAGGTTGAAGCAAAAGGATAGCTGGAGTCCAGCAGGTTGACGCTGGGGTGGCCGTGAGCATGGCGTTGCACTCCAACCTGGGCGATGGAGTAAGACTCCAACTCAAAAAAAAACCCCAAAAACTCTATTTTCTTCAAAATAACTGGGAGAGGGAAGGTAACATAGGTGAACTCAAACTGGCCACGAACTGATAATTACTGAAGCTTATAATTACTGAGGTTGATGCATAAATGGGAGCTCACTATATAATTTTCCCTACTTCTATAAGTATTTGAAAATACCATGAAAAAAGGAAAACATAAATAAAGGAAATTTTATGTTTAGAATACTATACACAAAATGACTCCGAATTTATATTTCCAACCTAGGCCTCTCTCCTTGAACTGCAAATTCATACACTCAACTGTCAGTCAGCTTCAAACACAACTGTTCAAAAACCAAACTGCTCTTCCCTAGTCTTCCTTATCTCAGTAAAAGACAATTTTATTGTTCCTGTTACTCACACAAAAACTTTTGGGAATGTTCTCAACTTCCACTTTCTCACACTATATCATCCAGTTGCTCAGAAAATTCTATCAGCCTTGCTTTTGAAATACAAACAGAATCAATTTGTACCACCTTCACTATCCCAGTTCAAGCTACCATCATTTGTTGCCTGAATTACTGCAATAGCCAACCTGTCTTCCTCCTGTCTGGAAATCAGATCATCCTCCAAAGACTTCTCACCTTACTCAGATAATGTCCAAAGTCCTTACAGAGGCCTCCCTCCTCCCCCTCTAATCTCATCTTCTACCACTCTTTGCTCAGGACCTCCGATTGCACTACTTGGGGTCATTCCTGAATGGGTCATTAGAATATAGCTTCAAGAGAGTAGGTGTTTTCCTTTGTTCACCTCTGCATCCTCAGCATCTAGAATGTTACCAGGCACACACGAGGTGCTAAACATTAACAAATACAATACTCCATGAATAAAATAAAACAGCACTTGGGTAGCCAGGGAAGGCCTCACTGAGGACCTGATGTTTGAGCTGAGACCTAAGTGACCAAGAGCCTGCCAAGCAGATTTAGAATCAGAAAGCTTCAGATAAAGGAAATAGTGAGTATAACTTCCTAAAATGGGAACAAGCTTGACTTCTTGGAGGCGTGGTTAGACCACAGCAAGGAGAGAGGTACCCTACAGGCCATGGCATGGAGTTTGCTAGGGAAAATTGTAAACAAACGGAGAGTTTTACACAAAAGGAGTAACACGATCTGATGATCCTAGATTTGTTTTGAAAGTAGAGCCAGCCAGTACGGATAACGTGTCACATAGAATGTGAAGGAAAAAGAGGATCTAAGAATAACTCCTCTCTAAACTTTTGGATTAAGCAACCGACGGATGGTGTCAGTTACTGAAATGAGTAAGACTGAAGAGAAATAGGTTCGGCCACAAGAGTGAAATTTCAGATGACCATGGACAAGGCAGTTAGATAAGCCAGTGTGGTGCTCATCAAAGACAGCAGGGCAGGGGACGTTCTTATACACGTATACAGGTACCCAATAACCCCTGAAAACAAATTACTAAACAATCACTTGTTCCTTCTTAAACAAACAACTCAGAGAGGTGATAAGTAAGGTGACTGCCAGAGGGTAAGCCCAGAGCAGCTGGCTCGCGTCTGGACCGGCCTTTCCATCCCAGGGCGCTGCACGTGCGACACCGCCTCCTGCCCCGGCTACTTGGAAGGCTGAGGCAAAAGGATAGCTGGAGCCCAGCAGGTTGACGCTGGGGTGGCCGTGAGCATGGCGTTGCACTCCAACCTGGGCGATGGAGTAAGACTCCAACTCAAAAAAAACCCCAAAAGCCCTTGCTTGGCGCAACCTCTCCGCCCAGTTTTTACGAAGCGGCAAAAGCAGGAAGGTGGGAGTAAGATGAACACATACCCGCCAGTCCAAATCCTTTCTCTGTTCTCTTCCTTTAACAGTCTCCGCCTAGCAATTGCCACCGCTCACCGCCCTCGAGCCTATAGCCCCTACCGCGTGTTTGCGTCAGAAAACACGCTTGGCACGTCACCTCGCTCCGGAAGTCTCCGACGCCGTAAGCACAAGGGCTGCCGGGAAAACCATAGAGAGGCCCCCCTCGAGAACGGATCTCAGCAAAGGCGGGGACTAGAGCGGCCTCTCACCAGCCGCCTTCGGGCGTACGTAGCTCGCGGTCCGCGAGCCCTGGCTGGCTGAAGCGGCGTCCCTTTCTGCGTGGCCCCGGAAGCACATAGAGCGGAAGGCGGGAGAAAGAAGCGGCCGGCTGGCCGAGGCGGCCCGAGGGGGCGGTGGCGAGCGGCACAGGCGCCCGTGCCCCACCGAGCTTCCCCTCGCCGGCTCTCGCGGATCCGAGCCCACCTGGCGGCCTCTGCTCCTCGCGCTTCCGGGGACCGTCGCGAGCGAGTGCGCCTGCGCGCCGGTCCGCGCGTCTCTTTGCTGTTCTCTCTTCGGCCGTCAGCCCGACGGTTCCTGCAGCCCTTCCCGCCCGGCCTCCCTGCACCGCAGCACACCGGCGGGCAGCATGTCGCGGCGGCGGCACAGCGACGAGAACGACGGTGAGTGCCCTCGGCCTGGTTTCTGAGGCCGATCCCGGGTGGGATCTGCGGTTTGGCTTCTTTGGTCTTCGCGTTTCCAGGGAAAAGACGAGAGAAGCCCTTCTCCCCGGGAATGTTCAGGGAACTGCCGAGGGAAAGAGGGAGGTACTGTGCGGGTGTGGCCGGGCGACTTCTGGAAAGAGACTGCGCCCCCCACCCAGTCCTTTAGTCATTGCCCGAGCGTGGGGAAAGAGGCCTGGTGGACCCCATGGATAGACCCCCTCGCCTCTAAGGACTCGATAATTTGGTCCTTAGCACCATGGAGCAGGGAAGTACTCCTGTGTTGCCGGCTCTTCGGGTCGGTGACAGGGACCCCGAGGTCCCAGCATCTCGTTTTAATTTTCAAAGCTGCACCTGGAAAGGGCTCTTGAAGACATTCCTGAGGGAAAGGAACAAAGTTGTGACTGGGAGCGCTGAGGAATCGAAGAGGTTGCTTATAAACAGACACTAGTTGCAATAGGTTTTGCGTTGACCTTAAACGTATTTCCCTCGAGTGAGAAAGAGTGCTAGAAAACTAACTTGAGAGTTCTGAGAGATTCAGACCAGGGGTTCCCATCTCCACTTGGTTGGTTGTGCTCATGGAAATTGTGGTGTCGTCATCAAAAAAACTAGGAATAATTCCTTTAGTTTAAACAAGAAAAAGATGCTGTTATTCATCAAAGGCATTACACTCGGTTAACCCACTTCCACACACAAAAAGCGAAACTTAGAGTAATTCTGTTATTAGTACTTTATTGTATTAGTCCTTAAAGTGAGTGTATAGTAGTGATTAAGAGGTGAGACTTAGGAACTGGAGGGTTATATTATCTTCTTAAACCTTAGTTTGTAATGTAGAAGTAATAAAATTATCTTTTCTGGGTTTTGTGAGCGTTAAGTGAGATAATACATGTAACCAGTGGTGATTTTTATTTGTTTTATTATCTGTTGATGCTTATGAGGTGGTAAACTTAGCAGATGCCAAGAGTATAAGAAAAAACAACACACATTTTAAATTGAGTAAGATTTCTTCACTAACATTTTATGTCTTTGAATGTTAGGGGTGGAAGCAGAATTGCATTTAGTTTTAGTAGTGAAATGCCAGGTTTCTGCTAGGGTATAGCTTGAGAGACTATTCAAGTCCAGCCTCCTCAGCTAACAAGGTTTTACAAACTGAGTGTAATTAACATGGAGACACAGCTCTCAGTGTCCATACACCAACAACAGCAAGTCCATGGCCCTCTTCACTACACAGGTATTACTGTGCTGCATGCTTGATTTTTAACACGGGAGGCTTCTTGTATAACCTCTGTACAGGCCACAGAAAATACGGTTTTTGTATTCTTTGTAAATTACTAAACAGAAACTACTATGCTTTAGGTCATCATTTGGGGTTTAGCAAGTCTTTTGTTCTTCCCAGTTTCTTTGTTTATATGCTTTCTTTTCTCCCTTCTAGGGCATCTCTAGAGGGAGGGGAAATGTTACTAGAGGGCATTCTAGAGAATTGGAGGGCAAATATGTAGAAAAGTAACTTCTGTTATTTGGAGGCTTCTATAACTTTCTTGTATTTGGCTTCTTTTTAACACCAGCCAGCACCTAAATCACTGTCCATTTGGGTCTTGCTGTAGGAACCTCAGAGTAAGACAAAGAGAAGTAAAAACTGCGTTCATTAAGCAAAGTTTATTATGGTGGGTACTTTAATAGAGAGGAGGCAGGTATTGTTTCTGTTTGATAATATGCCAAAGCTGAAACTTATGAATTGCCACAAGATCATTGGCACTGATTGGCTAGGGTTTACCCTACACAGTGACTGAATCAAATATTTTGGGTGTTTACTTTTTAATTAAACATCTACTAACTTTGTAGAATAATAAGTTTTAGCAGCTTAAATATCAGAGAAGACTACTTTAAAGTAGGCTACAATCACGGTCAAAATTAAATAGATGCATTTGAGCATTTCTGGATAATTGTCAGCTATCAGTCACTGCCCTGACTTTCTATTTCTATATGTTCTATATGCCTGACTATATGTATATATACATATATATGTATATGTATATATGTATATATATTCATTTATTCAACAAACACGTAAAAGTGCTGAGCTCTGTCCTAACTACTTGCAATGCAGCAGCGGACAGTGTAAAGATGGAGCCTCCCTTCTAGGGTGGAGAGAGAAAAAACAATCAAGAAATGTGTAGTATATCATATGGTGACAAGTGCTATGGAGAAAAATAATGTCAGGTAAAGAAGGTAGAAGACTGCTGTGGGAAGGAGTTACTATTTTATGTAGGTTGTTCAGGGAAGGCCTCAGTGAGAATGGCATCCAGTGACAGACTTGGCAGGAGGTAAAGGTAGCAGCCATATGGCTGTGTGGGGGAAAACAGTGGTCCAAACAGAGGGAAACATGGGTACAAAGGCCTTACTTAAGACTAGAGCATCCCTGTCATATTCGCAGAATGGTAAGGAGACCATTGTTGCTGGAGTAGAGTGAATGGGGAGGTGGTTGTAGGAGGTAAGATCAGAGAGATAGTAGAGGGTCAGATCTTATAGGGTGATTTTAAAATTATATCTCTGTGATAGACTAGACTCCAAGATTCAGGAAGATAGGGTTAGAAGCCTATGCCAGTGAAGTTAATGTTAGTAGTCCATCTATAGACAAGAAAATGGAGATCCAAAATGGAAATTAATGTGTATGGATTCTAGTCCAGTGCTAAATTGAACTCATTTCTTAGACTCTCTTTAAAAATGTCTCTGCAATGTCCACTTATATACCTAATCCTGAACTGTACCCCGCATCTTTAAAATAAAATATAAAAAATAAAAATGTCTCTGAAGCTTTTTAGTTTATAGGATATGTAATAATTGTTTTTGTTCTTTTAAGAAAGGATTTAGGTTGTTCAGAATCTTAGCCAAAAACCCATATTAGCCCCAATTAAGCTACTTAGAATTAGGTCCTTATCTTTTAGACTGTGATTGGTTTTTTTACTTGAGAAAAATAAATGAAATGAGGAGGTTTGTTTTTCTGAGAGAGTATAGTTTGTTTCAGAAGTGATGGCCACTTTTCTTTTAAGGCTGCAGGATCAAGGCATTACTTTTCTCTTATATTTTGTTGGGTTTTATTACTGTACTTTATTATTTTACAGGGTTTTCTTTTGTACTTTGTGGGTCTAAAATTTCTTATAGTAAATCTAAGTGTGGTTAAGGTTTAAAAAACATAACACAACCCAAAAAAATGCTCTCATTTAGCTGGTTTTTCAGTGTCTGCATTCTCTTAGCCTCACTGAAATCTGGTTTTGAAGAATACTGCTTTCTAGAATACAGTTTCTCAACGTCAGCACTATTGACATTTTGGGCTGGATTATTCTTTGTTGTTAAGAGATGTCCTGTGCAATGCAGGATATTTAGCAGCATACCTGGCCTCTACTCAGTTGTTCTCTCCCAGTTGTGACAACTGAAATGTCTCCAGGGATTGCCAGATGTCCAGTGGGGGCAAAATCTGTGCCCAGGTGAGAACCACTGCTCTAAAAGAAAGCTATTTTAATGTGTTGGCTCACAATTTGTATAAATGTTTAACATCAATTATGCATTGTTCCTTCAATGAATGAATCCTGGAAATAAAAGACTTGTGTGAAAGTTAGCTCTTCAAGTGGTAGAACCTTAATAGATCCTGTGACTGAAGTTTGATGTATACTTAAGAATCAAGCCACTGGTCTCTCTGTGCCACACATGTCTACAACTTTATACAGGCAGATACGTTCAGGAATAAATATATCTCAGTTGTCACACTGCATGCATGTTATACTTTTTGTGGCATTATCCCTTCAGAGTTATAGTCAGTGGTGATTTAGCCAGATTATAGTGGTAATTAAGGGGTTGGAAAGTTAATAAAAATACAGTGCTTACTGTGTGGTCTTTATCATAGCCCCTTCTGGTCCTATATGGATAGTAAGAGATTGGTTTTATTCAGCTTAAGTTTCTGTGGTATATGAAGGTTTCAGTCTTTGGAGAAACTTTTAGCACCCGACTTAGAATAGCCAAGTGCTGTATTTTATGAGAATTAACATTTCAAGCCAAATGTTTCAGGGGCAAGTGATTATAAACTCTTTAAAAATAGTTCAGTTCCACGATGCATATTTGTATACCTAACCCTTAACTGTACCCCACAATTTTAAAATAAAAAATATGTTTTAAAAAAATAGTTCAGTTCCTTTCACTGTTCAGGACTGAAGAAGATCAAACTATTTATTGAAGAGTTCAGATAAGAAGTTAGACACACATGTAAAACAAGTGAGAAATCCAAATGTTTTATGCTCCCCTTTTCCCATCTTTTGAAGTTTTCCTCTTCATACCTGTTATAGTGGCTTTTTCCCCCCTCATCAGTCTTTTGAAAGCATTCAACTTGGTTTTGTGCCCTTATTTCATTATTTACCTGATAATTAAGTTATATCATTGGACTAATGAGTACTACTGACACAAGCAGGTTTACAAACAAGCAACTGAAGATTAGTAAATAACTGAAAAAGAATGGTGGTAGCAGTACATGAGAATTCTAATTACTAGTGTTTAGCATATTGGCAGCTTTCTAGCCTGTCCACAGAAATGAACAGAGCTGCTGCATTGCATAGCTCCATGGGCACTATTTACACACAAAAAAATTTTTTTTTTTTTTTTTGAGTTGGAGTCTCACTCTGTAGCCCAGACTGGAGTGCAGTGGCCGCTCCCAGCCACCACAGCCTTGACCTGCTGGGCTCCGGCGATCCTTCCGCCTCAGCCTTCCAAGTAGCTGGAACTACAGGCACGCGCTACCACGCCCGGCTAATTTTTTGATTTAGTGTAGAGATGAGGTCTCGCCTGCCCAGGCGGGTCTTGAACCCGCGGGCTCAGGCAGTCCACTCACCTCAGCCTCCCAAAGGCACGGGATTACAGGCTGAGCCACCGAGCCCAGCTTACATAAAATTTAACAGTAATAATGCCCTCTGGAATTATTGTACATAGTGGTTCTGGAAATGGAAACTGTTGATTAATTGAAGAAAGGGAGCATCAATAAAGAGCTACTCTGTGTAAAAAGTAGCGCCTGGTAGAAAAGAAATTATAGCCTAAAAAGATTAAATAAAATTTGTGATAGCAGATTTATCATGTAATGTCAATTTTTGCATGTTGCTGAATTAGGTGGACAGCCTCACAAAAGGAGAAAGACCTCTGATGCAAATGAAACCGAAGATCATTTGGAATCTTTAATATGCAAAGTAGGAGAAAAGGTATGTACCACACACAGTAGGCACAGACTGTGATGGCTTTAGGGATGTGGTTGACTTATTTCAATTAATTTCTGCAACTGAATACTTGATCTAAGTTGTAGGCAAAGCTTGTATTACCATGCATCTGTATCCCAAAGTGAATGCATGTTGAAGACCCTGGGATGCAGATAATTGATGGTTTTAAGTAATTAGTAATTTTCATAGCCTTGGGAGGGTCTTCGAAGGGACCTAAGGAATAGTCCTCTCAATTTATACATGAACTAAACCAGACCTGGATACTTGAAGTAATTTGTCCAAAGTCACAGTAGATTAGTAAGAGATAGAATAGAGCCCACATAGTAAGAGATAGAATAGAGCCCACATTGTCCTCCCATTTCTGCTACATGTAGAACAGTAACTACCTGAATTGATTGATAATAAACCTGACATAGCTCCTTATGAATATTAAACTTTGACTTTTTTAGTGATCATCTAGAAAACTTTATTTTGTTTCACTAATAGCTAAGTGTTTGACAGATATTTAATGTGATGCCCTCTACAGAGTGCCTGCTCTTTGGAGAGCAACCTAGAAGGCTTGGCTGGTGTTTTGGAAGCTGATCTTCCTAACTACAAGAGCAAGATCTTAAGGCTTCTTTGTACAGTGTATGTATGCAAAAGATTTATGAATCCAGGTGATAATGTATTATCTACTCTTAAATGCTTTGGGAAATGTTAAGAGATATGTTTATGTTCTTTATGTCACTGGTTTAACTTCTATTAGGAAATTTGTACAAATGAAATAACGTTTGGCCCTATGTTGAGCTCTTTTTCTTAGGGATAAATGGGACTAAAACTGAACATTTTCCTTAAATGCTTTTCTTAGAATCATTTGAGTTGACTTTTTATATGAGAAAGTAGACATTTTATCATTTAGGGGTTTTTTTTTAAACATTCACATTTTAATATATTAAAGATTTTAACTTACATTTTTTTAACTAGTAGTATAATACCAAAGAAATTTGAGAACTAGAAACTTGAGTAATAGCCCTTCTTGGAAATCTGAAGACTCTTTTGAAGCCATTAATAGGCATAGTCTCCGAATTGTTAACTAGAACAGGTAATGTCATTTCATTTGTGAGGAAATTAAAATGGAAAAAGTCTGTCATGAAGTAATGAAGCTTTTCCCAGAGGTGGAAATAGCAGTCTATCTTGTTTCTCAGATAGACATTGATCACTCTGAATTGTTTCCCTTGCAAAGAACTAGCTATGACTTCTGGATAAATGAGAAGCTTTGTCATTCACATGAGATTATAACATATCTGTGAGGTATTTTTAAATTATGAACGTTACTTTTTATTTTTTTTGAGTTGGAGTCTCACTCTGTCTCTCAGGCTGTAATGCAGTGGCATGCTCACGGCCACCACAACCGCGATCTGCTGGATTCGGGTGATCCTTCCACCTCAGCCTTCCACATAGCTGGAACTCCAAGCATGTGCCACTACTCCCAGCTCATTTTTTGATTTATTGTAAAGAATGAGTTCTTGCCAAATTGCCCAGGCTAAGTCTCGAACCCATAGGCTCAGGCAGTCCTCTCACCTTAGCCTCCCAAAGTGCGGGGATTATAGCCTATGAAGGTTACTTTTATTGCTTCTTGGTCTTTTGGCTAAAAATAAATGAAGGTAACTTTTAAGTTACCATTTCAGTTATATTAAAATGCTTATACCTCGTTTAAATTTAAAAATGAACACACAAACTGAAACTATCAGTTGATTTCATTTTAACCTCTTGAAGTACAGTTAAATTGCTTTACGGTTTTAAAAAAATCCAATTAATATTCAGGAAAACATATCCTTAGACTAAGAAACTAAGAAAAATCATTTTGCTAGTTATCCATAAGATGCTTCTCTTTTGAAAACCTTTATTAGAATGAGTCATTTATACTTAAATTCTTTTGGAGGCCTTGTTTAAGCTGTACTGGTATTTCAGTGTTCTTTTTTAAATTTTTGGTTTTGGGAGGGCTTCAGGGAGCATGGTTACTATCAACACAAGTATTTTTTGAAGACCTAAATTGTCTCTAAATATTCTGCTAATTACTTTAGGAAAACATGAAAACTTAAGATAATTTCTTCTCCATGAATTATTATGAATTCTTATTTGCTTTTTGAGCTAATTCTAATGGCTGCCTAAATCCTAAACATTTGGTTTTTTTCTACAAGTTTATAAATTATAAATTCTCTTCCTTACTTTTCAAATAACTTGAATGAAATCAGCACACTTGGAGTAAGCAACTGAGATGTAAATAAACCTTAACTATATTTGAGTACCATGTTAGCAATTTGGTAGTTTAACTGATAGGCACTTAGATGAAATGTTTTAAAATCTGCATCTTTTCTAAGCCTCTAATGCTGTTTCTCAAAGTAGACTTCTGGTTGCATGACATTTGATTAGCTAAGTATAGAAACTCTGAATGCTATGTCCCCTCCTTAATGATTCTGCATTCAAGAAGTTTGTTTCACCCAGCATTTCTGAGATATTTTACTATGGAAACCATTTTCTGTGGAACTGCTATTCATTTCCACTAAATACCCTTGAAGAAAAACTGGTCTTGCATTACTTATTTATTTCAGTGTGATAACTTCATAATTAAACCGTTTATCTTCTTAACTCTTGGATTAACTAACTAACTAAAATGAAAAACTGGAGGCCGTGTATAACTCTTCTCAGTGACATAGCTTTTCTGAAGTCGTTTTTAAAGACATAGCTAAAAGTAATCCTGTTCCAAAATTAACGGAATGATAAAAGATTTACATAAAATATAGCAACTTAATATAATGCTATTTTGGGGGGGTTTTCTTGTTATACTGGGTTCTCAAATTAGTGCACGTCTGTTACCTGAGAAGTTGACAATTTATACAACATTAGTTGGACTACTGAATGCCAGGAATTACAACTTTGGTGGGGAATTTGTAGAAGCCATGATTCGTCAACTTAAAGAATCATTGAAAGCAAACAATTATAATGAAGCTGTTTATTTGGTAAGTTTGTTTGTTTGTTTGTTGGTATGTTATGACTTAATACTGGGATGATGAGCTATAACCAGATAATTTAAACAGTCTCCTGGAACATTCTCATTTATTTTTCATAGCTTCATAAACCACTGCTAATTTGATGGTACCTCCCTAATCTATAACTGTATCTCCAACTTCAACCTTTCTCCTGAGCTCCTGCATAGACCTAAGATATGTTATTTGAAAGTCCCTAAATTAATGCATTATTTATACCTCCTTTCCTTTTGTCTTCTCCCCAACTCAAACAGTGGGCACTATGGACTGGGAACCCATCTAAAAACCTGAGTGTTCATTTTTGTCTTCCCTTTGCTCTCTTATGTAAGCTTCCCCAAGACCTGTTGATTTTTTCCTCTTAAATTTCTCTCATATCTTTCATTTTCCTGATTCCAGGGCTTATAGCATAGTTCATACCTTCTTCCTCATGTCCTTAACAGACTCCTTAACTGATATTTTTGGATTCTCTGCCTTTCACTTTGTGTTTTACAGTGGCACCAGAGTGATCTTTATATAACTAGGCTCTGCTTATGTTGGTTACTGGCTAAAAACCTTAGTTCCTTCCCATTGTCTGCAGTAGGTGGTCTTAAAAGCCTGGTATACAAGATGATTACTTGGGTTGCAGAAAGTAAATATTTGAACTTACTTTTCTTAAATGAAAATGAAATTAAGCCTTACTAATACTTAATACATAGATTGATAGAGATCCATTTTATACTATAAATAAATATGTATATGTGTTGCAGGTATGTGATCAAATTATTTTATACTGCATACACAATCAAAAAAGTTTGGACAACTATGAGGCTATAGGATTAAAGTCTAGACTCTTTAACCTGGCCCTTTATGGTTGCCCAATCTGTTTCTCTATTATTGGCTCCCATATACCTCCCAGCCATATCAAAATTACTTCAGGTCCCTGAACACACTGTGTTTTTTAACATTTCTGCCTAGAATACCCTCTTTCCTCAGCACCTGAGGAGTGCTTTGCTCATCTTTTATGACCTAGCCTAGTTGGTGTCTCCTTTATGATACTTTTCCCTTCTTCCTTTAGCACTGTTTCAGCACTTTTATTTACCTTTTAGTATTGGAGTCATCCCTTGGTGTTGAGATTGTCCTTGTTCCATTAGAATATGCGTCTGTGACACAATGGGCACCCAATAAATGTCTATTCTGTAATTTCCAGTATTATAGTTCAGTGAAGATTATTCACAGCCAAACAAAAAAAGGAGATTATAGGTTGAAGTACCTAGAATATCTTACAGTCTGGGTTCTTATTGTAGTAGAGCATGGAAACGTATAAACTCACAGATTGCTGTCCTTTATACAGTCTTGACAACCACTCAACTCTGCCTTTGTAGCACAAAAGCAAACATAGATGATATGTAACCGAGTGAACCTAGCTGTTCCAATAAAAGTTTATTTATGGATGCAGAAATTTGAATTTCTTGTAGTTTGTATGTGTCATAAAGTATCTTTTGATTTTTTTTCAAGCATTTAAAAATGTAGAAACCATTCTTAGATCACAGAGTTTGCAAAAAACAGGCAGTGAGCTAGATTAAGCCTTTGGGCTGTAGTTTTTCAGACCCATAATTTAAACCATACAAGATTGCTTCTTTTGTAATTATTATGAAGGACATTTAGGTTAATAGCAGAAATTGTTTGCCCTAACAGGTACGTTTTTTATCTGATCTTGTGAATTGTCATGTGATTGCTGCCCCATCAATGGTTGCTATGTTTGAAAATTTTGTAAGTGTAACTCAGGAAGAAGATGTGCCTCAGGTAAGAGAACCCCTTATTCTGAATCCTGTCCATATAGTGTTAGGAGTCTTGCATTGGTAACTCTTTAGCAATTAAACAAAACAGCAAGTTATCACCCTATAAATTCTTAATATGTGAAAGTTAAGTTGACTGGCATAGTCATAGGTTCTCATGATATCTATATATTAATTATTCTGTCCGGTAAGATTAGGACTAATATATCTAGTTCTCTGAAGGAGCCAGATGTCTTATTTTAAGTCCTGTTAAATAGCTTCCATAGGATTTCATTCAAGAATAAATAAAATATGAATGAAAATGAATTAGTACATATTTTTAAACTTACCTTTTTAAAAATCCTTTAGGTGCGACGAGATTGGTATGTGTATGCATTTCTGTCATCTTTGCCCTGGGTTGGAAAGGAGTTATACGAAAAGAAAGATGCAGAGATGGACCGCATCTTTGCCAACACTGAAAGCTATCTTAAGTAAGGGCACAGCTCATGGTACTCTTTATTGTTTAGGTAAAGGTTGCAGATATAATAAGTGTGTTATAGTCTATCTGTTAGTGATACCATTTGAGTTTCTAAAAAATGAGCCATAGAGTTCCTGAAGGTGTTCTAGGTAATGCCATTATCCTACTGTTGTAACTTACTGAGACCTCAAAATAATCAAATATATTCACTTACTTCACCAGTGCAAAGGAGAGTTAGTAACATAGCTTCTTTTAAGCTGTTTATATACAAGACTTAAAATACCCTAATAATTAGTTTCTCAAGTATTAGTGGGAATAAGAATTACCTGTGGTACTTAAAATGCTTGGACCCCAAGCCCCAGGCCTAGTGAATTATACTCTTTGGGAGAGAGGTTTGGATATCTATATTATTGATATATTCCATAGGTGGAGAATCACTGCTGTAGCACATACAAAATATATTTCATGTAAATGAATTCTAAAAAAGCCCTTAAATCAGTGGTCCTTAACCTCCACCTAACCTGTACTTCTTAAGTAATATGACATATTTCGATTAAAATACTTCCTTATCTTCCCATTTCCCACCTCTCCCTAGCCAGTGTAAAAGCTCAGTTTATATTGTTAGATATAGTACTAATAATAGGCCTTGTTAGTAAATATATGCTAAATTATCCAGCAACGTGGTAATAGTTATGTGTCCCTTAAATTTTGCAGATTTTGTTACTTCATGTTCTGTCTGTCAATAGGTACTTCTTTGGATAACTGTTAATATCTACTTATTTGGTTATAAATTAAGTTAAACGATGTCTAAAGATAAGATTATTTTATGCGTGTGTGTGTGTGTGTACTTTTTCTTTTTTATGCAAATAATCTAAAACACGTACTCTTTTTTATTTGCATTTTTTCTTATTATAACTTGGATTTGCTGCATAAAAATAAATGACTCTACCTCATTCTTTTTTTTTTTTTTGAGTTGGAGTCTCACTGTCACCCAGACTGGAGTGCAGTGGCCACTCCCAGCCACCGCAACCTCGACCTGCTGGGCTCCGGCGCTCCATCCGCCTCAGCCTTCCAAGTAGCTGGAACTACAGGCACGCGCTACCACGCCCGGCTAATTTTTGAGTTATTGTAGAGATGAGGTCTCACCAAGTTGGCCAGGCGGGTCTCGAATCCGCAGGCTCAGGCAATCCACTCACCTCAGCCTCCCAAAGGTGTGGGATTACAGGCTGAGTCACCGAGCCCGGCTTCTACCTCATTCTTTTTAACAGTTGTATGGTATTCCACTGTTTTTAACAAGTCTCATGTTGTTGGATATTTAAGTTATTTTCAGTCTTTTGCTGTTGTAAACAGTGTTTCAGTGAATGTCTTTGTATATATGTCTTTGTGTACATGTACAAACATATTTATGGAGGATGTAAATTCCTAGAATTTACAACCTATCATTGCTAGATTGCAGGTTCCAAAAATTTTAATTTTGATAGATTTAGTCAGATTGCCCTTCAGAGAAATTATACTCTTCCAAAAAGATAATACCAATTAACCTCTTTGCCAATGGTATTTGAGACTGAATTTTTACCTACATCTTGGAGATACACAGTATAGTGTATTATTTATTAACCCTTTGTACTTGGAAACATCTCACAGATCACCTACCAACAACTTGACCACACTTTTTTACGAAAGAGTTAAAAATGAATCACTTCATATTAAATAGTATAGCGTTGGAACCAATTATTTTATTGTAATGAGATTTGGCTTATAATGGAATTTTGGACATTGAGGAACTTATTTATGACAAAGAATCAAAATTTTATATCTTATATTTTTCTAATGTGTGAAACAGTCATCGACATGGCATTGTAGGTTCACTGATACATGTTGTGCAGTAGTAATTTGTTTGACATCTTTCACGTGGTGTTTTTCTATTTGAGCAGTCTCATTTTCTTCCTCCCTCATTAATAATATGTAATTTATTGTCCATTCTGTTGCTCAAAAGTGATGTGGGAGGACATACCTGTGATTTCTGAAAATCACTTCTCAACTGATCAATCAGAAGCTTGACAAATTTCAAATGGGACATAGGTTTTTCATTGTTTTTGAATGGAAAACTTCAAGGAAACATACATTTTTGAAAAATTTGCACTTGCACTTTTGTCCTGTATAATCACCAGCAATCTCTTTATTTCTCCTGAGAGGGCACATCGAAGTGGTTTGCTAGATTTATGTTGTCCCCTCAGAGGGGATATCTGAGTACAAAGGGCTAAAACAGTTGGTATCTGTTGATCCAATGAGTAAAAATGTTATTCATTACTTTAATTTGCGTTTAACAATTATAAAAGTGACTAAGCATCTTTCATGTTTTTAAAAGCCTAAATGTAGATTTTCATTTTTGTGTTTAGAAGACGTCAAAAGACTCACGTGCCCATGTTACAGGTATGGACTGCTGATAAACCACATCCACAAGAAGAGGTAAATTTTCATTCTCTTGTGATATACATGTAGTTAGCTCTTGAGTAGCTTCTTAAGTCTGTAACATACTCAAACCATTCCATTTGTACATCTTACCTAGATTTCACATTTCATATCTGGTATGCAGCTCAGTTCTAAGAATGTAGTGGATTTTTAATAAATGATAGGGCAAGAGAATGGAAACATTCTCTTGTTATGGGATTCCAGCTATCACAGAGTTGCATTTTCAGTTTAAATACTCAATTTGAAAAATGTAAAAGCAAACAGTTTCAAACAGACTTTGTAAAATAAGTAATTAAAATAAAAACAAAAATTTAGTGCCATTTTGTACCATTTTAATTGCAAATTAGATTACTTATATATCCTGTACTTTAGAAGACAGTAATTTTTTTTTTGTCTAGTGCTAAAATGTATTAATTCTTACAAATTATTCTGTCTTTAGTATTTAGATTGCCTGTGGGCCCAGATTCAGAAATTGAAAAAGGATCGCTGGCAGGAACGGCATATCCTAAGACCTTATCTTGCCTTTGACAGCATCCTGTGTGAAGCACTGCAGCACAATCTGCCTCCTTTTACACCACCTCCTCACACTGAAGATTCAGTGTACCCGATGCCAAGGGTCATCTTTAGAATGTTCGATTACACAGATGATCCTGAGGTATGCAAGCAACTAAAAGTTCCCAGTTAGGGCCTGTATTGCATTGTATCTGTTGTTTAGTTCTGCTTGAATTATGCCTGTGATACATTTTACTTATTTTATCTGAGAAGGTCACTGGCAATGAAGTTAACTTTTAGCAGCAAGGAATATCACCTCATTATGCAAGAAACCATATTTGGCATGTGACAGTAGATCAGAGAGACACACACAGTGTGTAGGTTAAGAGAATTGGATTGAGAGCTAGACTAGTTTGTGTTTTAATCTTGGTTTAGCCAAATAGTAGCTTCGTGATCTTGGGTGAGTTATCTTTCTGTGCCTTCGTTTCCTAAAGGAATAATAATAGCGTTTATTGCATAATATTATGAAGGATTAAATTATTAACACATGTAAAATGCATAGAACATGTGTCTGACACATGACGAATGTACAATTTTAGCTACTATTATTAATAAGGTCATTTTTCAATAAAAATACCTAGCTTTAGAGGTTATGCATCCCTCCTTAGATAACATAGCTTATCAGAAGTTATTATTCATATTATGTGATTACTTAAAAACAAATATTAAAAAGTATTTTTAGTTAAAAAACCCCAAAGATTAGTATGAGCTGACTTTATTGTTTTTAAATATATATATATCTTTATTACAAAGTTAAATTGCTGGCAGCCATTATACTTTAACAATTAATAAAGAAAATGTATAATTTTGATATTAATATTTGGTCTAAAAATTTAAATTTTAACTATACTTTAATTATGTTGTATCTCTGTACTTGTATTATTATCTTTCAGCCAGTCAGCAAGCACAGTGATTAACTAGATTGGGTTTGTTTTGGTTTTTTTTTTTTTATTTATTGTAGAAAGGAGGTCTCACCAAATTGCCCAGGTGGGTCTTGAACCCGTGGGCTCAGGCAGTCCACTCACTTCGGCCTCCCGAAGTGCTGGGATTACAGACTGAGCCACCAAGCCCGACCTAGATTGGTTCTAAGTAGAAACTTGCCTGGCTAAAGTACCATGCCTTTTGCTTAGTATATTTCATTCAACGTGGAGCAGTGTTCCTCATCATCAGGACACTTGAACTTGGGGGTAAATAATTTTTCCTTGTGACAAACTGCCCTATATATTTTAAGATGTTCTATCCTCTAGATGCCAGTAGCACTCCCCATGCCTCAGTTGTAACAACCAAAAATGTCTACAGAGATTACTAAATGTTCCCATATGTGGGAAATTGCCCCCAGTTGAGAATTTCTGACATAAAAACCAGTATTATCACCTAAGGTCATATTTGAGTTTCTTTCTCCTATCTTCTCTGTCCTTTGGTAAAGTGCTTATGACCATTGTGAAGTTAGTATATATGTGATCTATTTCACAGTAAAAAGTTCTCAGATAATCAGTTGTATATACAAAATAATCAACTTTCTGCCTGCTTTATTGTATTCCATAAATTATAAAATACTTCTTAATCAAAATTATATAATGGTTTACTTAGGTATAGCTAACTGAAAATGTTACTTTGCATTTGAGACTGCTTAAGTCTTTGTGATTAGGTATTTATTTGTGCAAGGGAAGCTAGAGTGGGACCTCAAAATTTGTCTTCTGTATTTATATTTAATTGGTGTTACTGCTATAATGTGCCTGTTTATCCTTTGTCAGAAGAGTATATGTAAATATATAAAACATTGACTAACCTCAAAATGAAAAGGATTTGATATGTTGTGGGTTTTTTGGTTTTGTCGTCATTGTTGTTCTGGTCTTTAAGAAATGCCGGGCACAGTGGCTCAAACCTGTAATCCCAGTAATTTGGGAGGTCGAGGCAAGAGGATTGCCTGAGCCCAGGGGTTCGAGACCAGCCTGGGAAACTTGGTGAGACCTTGTCTCTACAATAAATTTGAAAAATTAGCCAGGCATGGTAGTGCACACCTGTAGTTCTGGCTATTTGGAAGACTGAAGCGGAAAGACTGCCTGAGCCCAGCAGGTCAGGGGTGGCCATGAGTGTGCCACTGCACTCCAGCCTGGGCGACAGAGTGAGACTCCAAAACTCAAGAAAAAAAAAAGAAAGAAATGTTCATTTAAAATATTTAGAAGTTATAAAGAAATTTATTAACTTTTCCTTAAACGATATGAGGAGTAACCTCCCCAAAATACAATTTATTTATAAAAAGTTGTATATTGACTTTTGCATGTTTAAACTCAGTCACTTTCAAAGTACTCTCCATTTGATATGGTATACCCATTGAGACACTTTTTCCACCGCTCAAAACAGTTTTTGAGCTTGTCGATTTTGATGCCTTTTAGTGCTCCTGCTGTTTTTTGTTCCACCTCTTTCACATCAGCAAAACATTTCTGTATCAGGACATTTTTCCTCTGGAGAAACAACAAAAAAGTTGGCTGGGGAGAGATCTGGTGAATAGGGAGGGTGGAGCACAGAGTTCATGCCATTTTGACCACTCAGCGTGGTGTGGGCAGGTGTGTTCATAAATCACCCATCATTAAATGGGCCAAGCACGTAGAAGAATCTCCAAAAAAGATTCACTGAAGCTGAATGCAGCTTATCACAACAACACTAGCTAGTATACTGACACTAGTTGGTTCCTCGAACACTCACCTAACAGGGAGAAGCCTGTACTACAAGGGACCTGCCCGCCAAGAAACAATTTTGGTTTTTTTCTTGGGTCCCCCTCGTATATTATGGGCACCTTTCAATGCATACAGAATTTTATGTCTGTGTGGTATTTAATAGAATTTTCTCTCTCCATGTTTGTTAATGGAAATAATCCACTAATGGTTTTAAAAATAAACATAAGGTTTATAATATACACAATGACTTAGTTTTATTTAAGAACTGGTGTGTAAAATAGGCAATGGAATATGGTATCAGATATAGTAGAAGAAACACTGCAGCTGACACTCTAATTTTGTTGTAGGTAAAAGTGAACACGACAATGAAATATGCTAAAATACAGAACTTTACACTTTGGAACTTTTATCCCCACCATTTATTATGTGCTTGAAACTTAAAACCTCTCAAATATTTGTGGCATAAGTGAAAGATTTCTGTTTTTTAGGGCTGTATGTGTATACGTTTGGTTTTCTCTCCAGGGTCCTGTTATGCCAGGGAGTCATTCAGTGGAAAGATTTGTAATAGAAGAGAATCTTCATTGCATCATTAAGTCCCACTGGAAAGAAAGGAAGACTTGGTAAGATTCTTTTCATGGTACTTTTAGAAAGGAGAAAAAGCAGCAATTTTGATGTTTCAGTAAGAGCAAAATGTATGTTAAGGATGTAAGAAAATCTTATTCTCCTGATTTCCAGTCTTGCTAAAAACAATCTCTAAAAACATTTGCTTTCCTTTCTTGGAGGTCTTTTATCCTCAAACAGTACTTTTCTGGGTGCTGTATAGCAATGTACATGTGATGCATAGGTTTTTTTTGTGGATATTTGGCATATGCTCTGGAGAACTTGAATGGCAGACTGTTTTTGATTTGGATGTTATGAGACTAAATGAATACCAATGGTTTTGCTCTTTTTTCTAGCATTTAGACACCCAAGCTCTGGAAGAGTTTGTTTTTAATAAAATTTTCTGTTTTTAATAAAATTTTCTTAGACCTTGGAAAGTAAGTGTGTGTGTGTGTGTGTGTGTGTGTGTGTGTAAGAGAATATAGAATTTTGGGAGTGGTCCTACCCTATTACAACTTTTTTAAGTTAGTATTTCTGAATATGCTTCCTTAGTGTTACTACTTGGACTCCTTTTGAGCTTTAAGAAATTTTAGATTCATTAAATATTCTACTTGTGGTAGACAAAATAATTTATGCCATAGTTAATGAAGTTAAATGAAATCTAGAACATTTCAGAAAAGATATAAGGAAAGAAAATCAGAAAATCAAAATTTCAGGAAAGATACAAGGGAAGGAGGAAACACACTGCTTTGAAACTGCTTATTTGATATTTTTCATGTATTGTTATATACTTAATAAACTTAAATTACACTTTTTATAGTGCTGCACAGCTAGTGAGCTATCCAGGGAAGAACAAGATCCCCTTGAACTACCACATAGTTGAGGTATGCATTCCACATGGAGCTTGTTTCTAAGTTTCAGAATCTTTCTTTTGACTTTAAAGTATTATCTACCCTTGGCTTATTTTTTTTTTTTCTTGCTGCTTGTCAGGCACTGAAAACTAACAGAGGAGCGAGGAAATTGCTGTCAGTTTTGGTGCTCTGTTAGCCATGTTAGTAAAGAAAAAAAAGGAGGTTGAGACCACTAGTCAAATGGAATTTTGAATTGCCTATAAATTATTGCTATAGTTGTTATTGGATAGTTGTCATGGATAATGTAAGTTACTTGTAGCTCTGTCAATGCAGTGTCCACTTAACAGAGGTATAAGTGGCTTAAATACATTAAGATGTTGTATTACTTTAGGCAGAAATGTACCTTTAACTGTGCTCATCTGGCTTCTTATTACTAGCATATACCTGGTTAGTATTTCCTGAATCTTCAGTTACTCTTAGAATTCTAAAAGGCCAAGCAATTTAGAAATAGGAAGAATAGAAATGTTTTTTACTCCATATTAACATATACAAAAGTTTGTTAGTTTACCAGTACAGTTGAACCTTGTAGAGATTTATGTCCTGAAAAACAGTGTTTTCATGTGACACACATGAGTCAAACTGTTAACTGCATTATTTCCTTGTGTTAAAGCAGGATTCCCCAGCCCTCGGGCCACAGACTGGTACTGGTCCGTGGCCTGTTAGGAACTGGGCCGCACAACAGGAGGTGAGCGGCAGGCAAGCGGAGCTCTGCCTCTTGTCAGATCAGTGGCAGCATTAGATTCTCATAGGAGTGCAGACCCTATTGTGAACTGATCATGCTAGGAATCTAGGTTGTACACTTCTTATGAGAATCTAATACCTGTTGATTATTCTCCTCTCCCAACCCCCATCCATGGAAAAATTGTCTTCCACAAAACCAGTCCCTGATGCGGGAAAGGCTGGGAACTGCTATGTTAAAGTATTCATGAAAGAAAGAACATGGTTTTGATATATTATTTAAGATTGACATTTTATTAATACTGTGCTTTAGTGTTTTTTCAATACTTCTTTAGAGCATTGTATATGTCATATCTTTATGAAACTTGAGAGTATACTTGATGTGAATTGGCTTATTGACATGTCAGTTGAAATGCAAAATATGTCACTTTTTAAAATCTGCACAATACATAGAAGTTTATTAGACTGAATTATAGGAGTGTGAGAAATAGGATATGAATAAAGAATGCAGACTAAACTTTAGAATTCTAAGTAGGTGGTCCACCAATTGTACTGGGAGGGTAGAAAGCAAAAATATCTGACCAAGAAGCACAGGAGAGAAGTCTTAGACTGTCAAAAAGATTTGGCGTCTTTCAAGTAACAGTGTGGAACAACTTAACTATCTTGTTTCCCATCCGCAGATCAAATAAAGGTTCTTTATAAAGAGTGAAACTCTAATGGATTTGTTGAACCCCTCAGAAAACTGTACCTGTCTGAGTAAAGTTTAACACTTCCAAAGTTGGAATTTAATTGCATAGTTCTCTGGGAAGAGTGTACGTTATTAGTCTTGTATATTTTTATTCGATTGTGTTATAAAGAGAAGAAATTGTCATTGCAGTATTCAGTTTTAGTTTTTTGTGTTTGAAAGAGTATAATTTTAGAGATTAAAAAATAATTATTTTTCATTGTGAATGTGATGGAGTTAGAATTTAGGTTTAGAATGTTAAGTTCTTTCTAATAGTAGAAGTGCAGAGATAGCAGTTGAATTGAGTTTTGACTCATTGATTCTTTTGTAGGTGATCTTCGCAGAGCTGTTTCAGCTTCCAGCACCCCCTCACATTGATGTGATGTACACAACACTTCTCATTGAACTGTGCAAACTTCAGCCTGGCTCTCTACCCCAAGTTGTATCCTTTCCTGTGTGTGTTTTTTTTTTTTTTTTTACTCCCTTTGGCCATGAAATGTTTTTGCTTGTGGGTTTCAATTTTGTGGTTAAAAAAATACATAGCTTTTGAAGTGTGTATATGTTACATATTTGTACTTGTATGTCTATAAATATTGATGTATCTATAAATAAGTAGATATATACTTCACTATTTGGGTCAAGAAGCTTAAGAAAATACGATGAAAGAAGCAATTGAAAATTGGCATTTTCAATTTTTAAAATTTTTTTTATTTTAAAGATGCGGGGTACAATTCAGAAGACATTTTCAGTTTTTAAGGGAAAAAAGAGTTTTTAATGTTTCTGAACTAAGATACTATCTTTCTTCTCTAGGCGGTTGTTTATTTGCCTGGCCTAGGATAGATAGTCCCTTGTAAACTTAATATTCTGTCACCAATATAAAAATAAATGACCATCTGTCACCAGTTTGAAAGTACTAAAAACATAATTGTCTCAATTTCTCTTCTATTTCCCTAAGCTTTAGGTTTTAGGGAGAGTGATTCTGATTTGCTTTGTTTTGATGGTGTAATATATCCTTTAAGTAAGAGTGATGAGTGACATGCACATTATAAAATTAGCACATAGCACCCTCCCATGTTATGAAGCTCCTGTTGTCTTCCTCCCCAGTAGCCTCCCTCTTTTCTCGCCCTTACACTGACTATTCTGACATATGATAATCGTTCACTTGCTTTTTTAAAGTGTAGTCTTCTACAAACATGAAAAGAATGTGTACTTTATTATTTTGGGGTTCAAGTTTCCCTGTAAGTTTATTAGATCAGGACCATTAATTGTATTTACGTTATTTACTATCTTGAACTGATTTTTTTCTTGTCTGCTACTGCTTTGAGTTACTGAGAGAAATACATTATTCTGCTGTAATTGTGGATTTGCTCATTTCTCTTTATAGTTCTATCAGTTTTGCTTGGTATGTTTTGAGTTATTAGTTACATACAGGTTGAGAATTGTTTTACCTTTTTGGCGGAGTGAACCTCTTTTTTATTTTTTTAAAGCAGGATTTATTGAGAGGACCGAAAAGCTCCCAGAGTGGGAGGGGACCCAAAACAGTTACCCAAAGTGAACCTCTTATCACTCTAAAGTGATTATCATGTGTAGCTTTTGCCTTAAAAAGTCTGTTTCCTCAAATATTAATACAGCTTCACGAGCTTTCTTTTAGTTAAAAATAATCTCTTTTTTCTACTCTCTTTTGACCTTTTTTTGTCTCTTTATTTGTTGTGTGTCTTATAAAAAGCATATAGCTAAGCTTTTTTTTCCCCCCCCCCGAGTTGGAGTCTTACTCTGTCTCCCAGACTGGAGTGCAGTGGCTTCTCCTGACTACTGCAGCCTTGACTGGCTGGGCTTTGGCGGTCCTTCCGCCTCAGCCTTCCAAGTAGCTGGAACTACAGGCACGTGCTACCACGACCGGCTAATTTTTTTTATTTATTTATTGTAGAGATGAGGTCTCGCCAAGTTGCCCAGTCAGGTCTGGAACCCACGGGCTCAGGCAGTCCACTCACCTCAGCCTCCCAAAGCACTGGGATTACAGGTTCAGCCACTGAACCCGGCTGTTAAACTTTTTTTTAATAAAGTGTTTTGTTTTTATCTTTTTTTTGAGTTGGAGTCTCACTTCTGTTGCACAGGCTGAAGTTCAGTGGACGCTCACAGCCACTGCAGCCTTGACCTGCTGGGCTCAGGTGATCCTTCTGCCTCAGCCTTCCAAGTACTTGGAACTACAAGTGTGCACTAGGACACCTGGCTAATTTCTGTAGAGATGAGGTCTCACCGGGTTGCTCAGGCAACTCGTTAACCTGTGGGCTCAGGCAGTCCTTTTACCTTGGCCTCCCAAAGTGCTGAGATTATAGGTATGAGCCCACCTGCCCGACCTATAGCTGAACTTTTATCCAGTGTCACAGTTTTCTTCTAATTGTGCCCTATTTGTCATTCCTGTTTTATTATTTTGTCTCGTTTGGCTATTGTGTCTTTTCTATTATGTAAGGTTTTTATTTCATTTGTTTCTTCCCAACTAGCTTACAAGTCTATACCTAGTTTCTAATTCTTTAACATGCATGCTTGTACACCTTAAATTAATTTCTGGACTTTTCTCTCAGAGGATAGATCAGAAGACACTTTGATTTTATTTTTTCCTCCTGATTCATATGCTAGTATTGTGAAGTTTAACTTTATCTTAATATTTGGAGCTTAAAGGGAAAAAGTTTAGCATACAATAATGTTCATTTAGATGTGACCACATATCTGCTGCTTTCAGGGATTTTCATTTCTTTTTGTGTATCCTAAATGTTTTGTCTACAGTTAATATATCCTTTATAGAAGTTCTGCTGCTGGTGGACTTTCTAGATAGTTGTTTTGGAAAAGGTTTTTGCTTTTATTTTTTCATTTTTGAAAGATGATTTTGGTTTTCAGAGAGAGAGTAACAGATTTACCCAAAACAGATTTCTTCCATGTTTTGCCAAAGCTTTGATACCCGTTTTCATTTGACTATATCTAACAAAATAATGTCTGATTAAATGTAGTATAATATTTCTTTAAATATAATGTCTAGAATTTAATGATCCTTGAATCTACTGACCACTAGAAGGCTAAGGGGGAAGAAGGATGGTCTGAGCCCAGCAGGTCGAGGCTGCAGTGACTATGAGCATGCCACTGCATTCCAACCTGGGCAACAGAGTGAGACTCCAAATCAAAAAAAAAAAAAAAAGAAAATATCTTTATGTATTGAAGATGTTTCCTTGATGGCTATGCTTTATGTTAAAGTACAGTGAAGATTTTCTCATCAATTTTGGGATTTTAATTAATTTGCTTTAGGGCTTTTTAAATGAAATTTTTGTTATATTAAGACAAAGCAATGTGTTGCCTAAAGTGAGACAAATTGCTTTTAAATTTATTAAAAATTTGTAACAGTGATTATAAAGATAGTGAATAGAGGTAAATCTCTATTAAGTCCTATAGCAAAAACAAATTTCAAAATCAGTTGCAAAGATCTCTAGTAAAATTTTTTAAAACTTTAAATTGACCATCCTTTTAATCAGTGCAGAAAAAGCATTTGACAGAACTCACCATCCGTTCATGATAAAACCTCCCAGCAAACTAGGAATAGAAAGGAACTGCCTCATCCTAATAAAGGACATCTGTGAAAAACCTGTAACTGACAGCATATTTAATAATGGTATTAAATTAACCTGCCATTGTAGTGCACTGTTTTAGCTAATACAGTCAGACATGGAATGGAGACAGAAAGCATCAAAATTGGAAAAGAATAAATAAATTTATTTTTATTTGCAGACGTGATCATCTGTGTAGAAAATGTTAAGTAATCAACAATAAAGGTAATAGAACTAAGTTTGTAGGATACACACATACTCTGTCTCACACAAGAATACCTTGGAGATGCTGTGGGTTCAGTTTCAGACCATAACAGTAAAGAATATTGCTGTAAAACGAGTCACAAATTTTTTGGTTTCCCAGTGTATATACAAGTTATATTTACACTATACTGTGGACTATTAAGTGTGCAATAGCATTATGCCTAAAAAATTAGACATACTTTGATTTAAAAATACTTTATTCCTGAAAAATGCTACTGATCATCTGAGCCTTCAGTGAATAATAATCTTTTTGCTGGTAGAGGGTTTTGCCTTCATGTTGATGGCTACTGACTGCAGGGTGGTGGCTGCTGAAAGTTGGAGTTGCTGTGGCAACTAACAATGAGACATCAGTGAAATTTGCCACACTGATTGATGCTTTCCTTTACCAAAGATTTCTCTGTAGCATGTGATACTGTTTGATAGCATTTTACCCACAGTAGAGCTTCTTTCAAAATTGGGGTCTGTTCAGACCCTGCTACTGCAAGATGTTCATGTAAACTGTGCTATAAACAGATTTGCTCTCACCTAGGCTTTCTTTTTATATTTATGGAGCTCAGACAGAATAATTTAATTTGACATAATTCTTAAGGACCCAAGAATTTTCAGAATGGTAAATGAAAATTGGCTTCAACTTTGGAAGTCACCACTGCATTTGTCTCTAACAAGAGAGTCAGGCTGACCTTTGAAGCTTTGAAATCAGGCCTCAACTTTTCCTTTCTGGCTATGAAAGTCATAGATGGCCTCTTCTTCAACAAGAAGACTGTTTCACCTTCATTGAAAATCTGTTGATGAAGGTTGTAGCCACCTTCATCAGTGATCTTCTGGATACCTGGCTGTAACTTCTGTGTCAGCACTTGCTGCTTCACCTTGCACTTTTATGTTATGGAGGCTGTTCCTTTCCTTAAACCTCATGAACCAACACCTTTCTTTTGCAGCTTCCTCAGCTGTCTCAGCCTTCACAGAATTGAGGAGAGTTAGGGCCTTGCTGTAGATTAGGCTTTGGCTTAAGAAAATGTTACAACTGGTTGATCTTCTATCTAGAACCTCCAAACTTTTTCCATATCAGCAATAAACTGATTAGCTTCCTTTTCATTTGTGTATTCGCTGGAATAGCACTTCTAATTTAGTAACTTTTCCCTTACATTCACAACTTGGCTAACTCGCTGGAACCACAGGCGTGTGCCACCATATCTGGCTAATTTTTGTGATTTATTGTAGAGATGGGGTCTCACCAAGTTTCCCAGGATGATCTCGAAACCCTGGGCTCAGGCAGTTCTCTCACCTCAGCCTTCCAAAGTGCTGTGATTACAAGCAGGAGTTACCATGCCCAGCTTGCTTTCACTCTTTCTTGGCTTTCAGCATGTCTTCCTCACTAAGCTTATTCGTTTCTAACTTTTGATTTAAAGAGAGAGACATATGACTCTTCTTTTCTTTTGAATGCTTAGAGGTCATTGTCGGGTTATTAATAGCATGTGCTCACTTTGTATCTCTGTGAATATTGTTGTGTCTCAGGGAATAGGGAGACCTGAGGAGTGGGAGAGACTGGGGACTACTGGCTGGTAGAGCAGTCTCATCATATTTATTTATTAAGCTCACTGTCATATAGGCATGGTTTGTGGCACCCCACAACAATGACAATAATAACATCAGAGATCACTGATCACAGGTTACAACAATAAATATAGTAATAATGTTTGCAATATTGTAAGATTTACCAAACTATGACACAGAGACACAAAGTGAGCACCTGCTATTGGAAAGATGGTACCAGTAACTTGTGAAAAGCTTTTTCGGCCAGGCTCGGTGGCTCAGCCTGTAATTCCAGCACTTTAGGAGGCCAAGGTGAGTGGATTGCCTAAGCCCACGGGTTCGAGACCCACCTGGGCGACTTGGTGAGCTCTCATCTCTACAATAAATTAAAAATTAGCCGGGCATGGTAGCGCGTACCTGTAGTTCCAGCTACTTGGAAGACTGAGGTGGAAGGATCACCAGAGCCCAGCAGGTCAAGGCTGCGGTGGCCGGGAGCGTGCCACTGCACTACAAACTGGGTGACAGAGAGACTCCAACTCAAAAAAAAAAAAAGCTTTTTCTTCAAAAGACTCTTAGTAAAATGACAGACAAGCTGCATACTGGGCGAAAGCATTTGCAAAGCATAGCAACCATAACAGGACTTGTAACTAGAACATATGTATAAGAACATACATACCTTAGTAACAAAAGGTCAGACTACCCAATAAGTAAGTGGTAAAAGATTTAATGGATAGTGTCAGGAGAGATGTGTAGATGGCCAATAAGCACATGGTACAATGCTTAACAGGATTAGCCATTAGGGAACTACAAGTTAAAATCACAATGAGATACCACTAACACACTGGAATAGCTGAAATGACAAAATATTGACAAGCATGTGAGTAACTAACTAACTCATACACTCCTGTAGTAGACTTAAAATATAATCACTTTGTAGGTACAGTTGGGCATTTTTAAAAGTTAAGTATACAGCTATACTATCTAGCCATTCCACTTCTAGGTATTTACCCAAGAGAATCGAAAGCATACATTTCCACAAAAACTTGGGCATTGATGATCATAGAACCTTTATTTGTAATAACCCCAAACTGGGAATAATCGAATTGTCCATCAGCATATGAATGGGTAACACATTTTGTTACATCATTACAATGGAATACTACTCAGCAATAAAAAGGAACAAGTTTTTGATGAAAGCAACATCATGAATGAATTGAGAATAATTATGTTGAATGAAAGATGCCAAGCAAACAAAAATTTATACTGTACTGATTTCATTTGCATAAAATTCTAAAAAATGCAAAATCTAGTGAAAGCAAAACAGGAGGGAGAGAAGGGAGAATGAATTACAATAGGCCAGGGAAAATTTTGGAGGTGGTGAAAGTAGTCATTATCGTGATTTCACCTGTGTTTACATGTCAAGTTTGTTGTACTTTGATACTACAAAACTATAAAAATTTTTCAAAAAAATATAAATTATGTGAAAAGTTGCTCAATGTTATTAGTCATTGTAATGACTTATAGGAAATGTCTTGTTTTTGTTTCTTCTGTTATTACTTATTTTGGAAGAGGGTACACTTTCCTTATCCTGAAATTCACAGCTTGCACAGGCAACTGAAATGTTATACATGCGTTTGGACACAATGAATACTACATGCGTAGACAGGTATAGTAATTGCCTTATTTCTGTACTGAGTGTTAGCACCTTTTGCGTCCTGTACTTTACAAAATAATTTGGTTGAGACACTTGAATTTTTAAGAATTTCCACATTGAGTTTTCTCTCTTGCCTCCCCAAAATAGCCATTGTGTAATAAGACTCATACTTGCTCTAATGTAACATTACATTTTTTAAGCCCATACTTGCTCTAATATAACATTACATTTTTTAAGCCCTGTGGTTAACATTACATTTTTTAAGCACTGTGGTTTTCTTTAATTTCACTCATTGTTTGGTGCTTTGATATAGTTCTACTTTTTCCTTTGTAACTGCATTTGTAAGCTTTTAGAATAAGTTTTGTGCCAATCCCTATGTAGAAGGAAAGCCTAATAGTGTATATTTATTATGTATATAAATCATATATGTTGTCTGTTTATAGATGGTATCTGCCTCTGAAATAATTAGCTTCTGTACAGAAGTCTTTTCAAACCTACAGTCCTTAAGATTTACTTTATACAAAAGACCATATGGAATTTTTATAGTTGTGATAATTGCTTGCTCACTGTTTTCTTTTAGGTGAGGTTTTGCGTGATCATATTTAGCTAGTATTCTTTCTTACCTTTATCAGTTTTCCAAGTCACATCAGGACAGATATTGAACATTTCTTCAATTTCTATGATCTTTCATATCCATTGTTCAAATTCCATCCCTGAAAATTGTCAGTAAGAGCTGTTCTAGCCGGACACAGTGGCTCATGCCTATAATCCCAGCACTTTGGGAGGCAGAGGTGAGAGGATTACCTGAACCCATGGGTTCAAGACCAGCCTGGGCAACTTGGTGAGACCTTGTCTCTACAATAAACAATCAAAAATTAGCCAGGTGTGTTAGTGCACGCCTATAGTTCCGGCTACTTGGAAGACTGAGGCAGAAGGATCGCTAGAGCCCAGTGGGTCGAAGCTGGGGTGGCCGTTCATGTGCTACTGCACTCCAGGCTGGGTGACAGAGCGGAACTCTAACTCAAAAAAAAAAAAAAGTGTTGGAACTGTATCTGCTATTTACCTAAAAAGGGTAAAAGATAGTACTGTTAGGAGTAAGATGGGGACTCTTAAAGAACGAGTTACAGGGTTTGTTTAGAAAAGAGTTGGTAGCAGGAAAAGATACAGCTGCAGGCATTGGGATGTGCTTTTCATTAACTTTATAAAATAGTTTATCCATTTGAAGGATTCTATAAATTTGTGTTGTAAATCACAACCATCATTTCTTTCTGTCCCCATTTCCCCCATCTCTGCATAGGTTTATTAATTGGTTTTCTCATCATCTAAGTAACTTCCAGTTCCGTTGGAGCTGGGAAGACTGGTAAGTTGTTATTATGTTTTATCCTTCTTTTCTTTAATCAAAAACTGTTCATGAGCCACGCTCGGTATCTCAGCCTGAGCCTGTGGGTTCGAGACCCGCCTGGGCAACTTGGCGAGACCTCATCTCTACTATAAATCAAAAAACTAGCCGGGTGTGGTAGCGCGCACCTGTAGTTCCAGCTACTTGGAAGGCTGAGGCAGAAGGCTCGCCGGAGCCCAGCAGGTCAAGGCTATGGTGGCCAGGAGCGGCCACTGCATTCCAGTCTGGACGACAGAGTGAGACTCCAACTCAAAAAAAAAAAAACTGTTCATGTTTAAAACTCAAGGGCAATGCCTTTGGGTCCCCTCCCACTGTGGGAGTTTTTCTGTCCTCAATAAATCCTGCTTTCTTAAAAAAAAAAAAAAAATGAACATAAAAGCAGTCTTTACTGTCTAAAATATTCTTTGATATTTTTTTACTATGTATAAGTGAAATAACAGGTAGAAGGAAACTTTATAGTTAAGTATAAGTAGTAAAAAGTTAATAAAACTTGTAAGTTGTTATAAGTTAACAGTAAGCAGATTATGTGTAAGAACTTACAAAACTACATTTTCTCATTAGGTCAGATTGTCTTAGTCAAGATCCTGAAAGTCCTAAACCAAAGTTTGTAAGAGAAGTTCTAGAAAAATGTATGAGGTAAGTTTTTGTTTTCTCCTTAGGTTAGGTCTCCTAATTTCTGTGGAGGGATATTCTCTCTTTCCTGTACTTGTGATTTGTGTCCAGAACATCATTTTTAAAACTCAAGTACTTATCTGTCTTCCATCTCACTTTTTAATCAAGATTTAGGCTGAAAAAATTAGGCAAGCATGCCATCTGTGTAATGATTTCAAATTTATAGAAAAGTTGCCAATGAGAAGAGTGGTGAGAGGTTAAGGTAGGGAAGTCTGGCAGACATTGGCATGACCAGGTATCAAGAGTACTGTCACCAGTGGTGGGATTCATGTGCCTCTAGATGTGACACACTGACAGCACCAACAACACAAGACCTGAGTCTGCTCATGAGGAAATATCAGAGCAGTCTAAGAAAATAAGGTCTAGACTCTTTAAAACTGATAAAGATACAAAAGACAGAGAAAGAGTAAGTGTTCAAGACTGCAGGAGTCTAAACAGACAACTCAGTGCTACATGTGTTCTTGAATAGGATTCTGAACCAGAAAGAAAAAAAAGGCATTGCTGTGATGGCTGGCAAAGTTTCAGCAACATGTGTAGACTTCTATGGTCGTTGTGTATTGGAGCGGATTTCCTGGTTTGGAGGGCTGTATGTTGGTTATTTAGGAGAGTGGCTTTGTCTGGGGGAATATGTAATGGAGTATAGAAAAATGATGAGCCATCATGTCTGTAGCTTATTCTCAAAGGGAAGACCAATGCAATGGTTGTATAGAGAAAGGGACAAGAGTGAGTTGGAGCCAGCATGATAAAATGTGAACAACTAGGGAATCTAGATGAACAAGATACAGAGTATCATTTTCCCCATTGTTAATGGATTAGTATTTTGTGGAAGGTATTCTGAGGTTACACTCTTATCCTGTTCTTTATCAAATCTCCAGTCTTCACTGAAAATTCCTACTTTTATCAGCTGCCATTAAGGTGATTGCCAAATGATTATTTTTTTTCCATTATTTTTCTATATTAGCCTGCATTCTGCTGTAAAAAAGAACTGTTCTTTCTCACCTTTTATTATTTCTTTATTTATATATCAGTACAGGCTAATGAATTTCTGTTTTGTTAAACTGGTTATAAACTGTGACTTTAAATATTTATTTTGATTCCCAAATTCTGCCTGATATTGTCCACAGGTGGCCCTGGTAAGCCTTTGTCCTTTCTTTTTTTTTCTCTTTTTCATTTTTTTAAAAAATATCCTCCACCATATATTGAGTAGTCTCTTGTTTTCTGGCACAAGATGTACCAGGCTCATCTTATATATTCTTTGTCTCTTCCCTGGAATCATCTGTTTATTCAAAGAGTTCTAGTTCCTAGTAGTAGAGTATGGTATTTAGGGACCAAGATCTGGGCACTTGATATGCTTGTTCCCTTTGGGCTATCATTAGTTCTAAGCTCTCTCAGTGGACACACATTCATATGTACGTTTATAACAGTGTTTATATCCACCTATGTGTTATGGGAGGCATCTCTCCAGTTTCAACCCAGTATCTCAGTCTTTCTAGCCTTCTCTGCCATGATTTGTAAATACCTTCTCAGGCAGTAATAAACTTGCCTTCCATTATCTCAATATTTATGCACATCGTTACTTCCACCCCACCCCGCCATTACCCAACATCCTTGGTCACTGGCTTGTGGGCCCACTAGTCCATAACACGCTGTAAGTCAGTAAGTTTTGAAGTAAGCCATTCTGGTGTGCTGGTTTAGTCAAAAGCCTAACCTTTTTCACTTCTTGGTTGTCAGCTGAGTTCAGGGTATTAGAGATTATAACTTCCCAGGTAAGTTGGGTGTTAGCCAAAGAACAGAACTGAAGAAAGATATTTTCTAAAGCTGTTATTTGTATTGTAGGTTGTCTTACCATCAGCGTATATTAGACATTGTTCCTCCTACCTTCTCTGCTCTGTGTCCTGCAAACCCAACCTGCATTTACAAGTATGGAGATGAAAGTAGCAGTAAGTAATAAGTAAAATGAATCCCTCTATCTTTAAAAAGTAACAGTGCAGGTTTATCTGATCTTGAATCCTGGGCTCAAGCAATACTCCCATCTTAGCCTCACAGACTGTTGGGATCCAGCCAATTATCTAAAGTCGGTTATTTAAGGTGGAGATCTTTCTTTTGGGGGAGTTTGTAATTTCCCTATTTGAAAGGTGGTATATATCACTAACCACTATTGTTTTATTTGTCTTGTCATCATTTTGAAGATTTTGTTGTGATCTAAATAGTTATTACTGACTTACAATTTTTTCTCTTTTGATGCTGTTTACAATGTTATGTCCATGACATTTTAAATATGGTGCTTAGCTTAGCAATTTGAATTTGTTGCCAGAACTTACTAAACTGAAAATGTGTATCTGTCATGATGATGGAGATTACTTGAATTGATTATCATCTTATAAACAGTTTAGGTGTGGTGCTATGAACGTAGGCGCACATAGTCTGTGGCAATGTGCCCCTAGAAGTAAATTCTTAAATATGTCTTTTTTTTTTTTTAACCTTTTGGTCACATTACCTTTGAGATTACATCATGAATCAGAGGAACTAATTTAATATGCTGTTTTGCACTTTGCACAGTATTTATACCTAATGAGGACAAGGTGTTATACATTGATGATCACTGGTAGAGAGTTAGATGTGCAGTTTTTCCAAATTGTGCTTTTTCAGATTTCACTGAATATAGCCCCTCTGTGGAGCTTTCTATCTTGGGTTGTGCAGAGGTTTTTCGCATCTGGGAGCTCTGCTCATTGTTTGCTTTTCATACTGTACCCTTGGTTCCCCACCTATGTCTCTGACTACACCTGTTTTCCCTGAAATAAACTTGGTCCTGATGTCCAGTACATTTTCCATGTTATGTCAACTCTGAGAAATAGGTATGATTATACCAATATTACAGTGAGGAAATAGCTTCCATAAGGTCAAGTCAGAATGAGATTGCTTCTTAGTGATGGAACTTAGATTCCAGTCTAGGTATACTAACTGAGGGGCCATGCTCTTAGCCACTGTGCTTTCTGGGAGATCAAAGGTTCATGTAGCACTTAGAAGTACCAGATTTTGAGTTTTGTCTTGTACTGGCTCAGAAAATTAGAAGGTACAGTCTGCTATCAGAGAGCTCAGACTTTTGTTGAAGACTGAGCATCCTTTTTTCCTGTAGGAATAACATTCAAGGTCTTAGTAACAGATCTTTCAGTCTCCCTAAATGAACCTCTACTTCTGCTAGACCCACACATCTTTTTTGTTTTTTTCATACTCCTTGTTCTTGGCTTTGCCCTTGTGCCATTGCCCCAGTATGGAAAGCCCTTTCTGTCTCCATTCCTGTAACGTGACTGTAACTGATACTCATACAGTTACCTTTTTTTGTTACCTCACATTAAAAGCAGGTTTCCTGTTGCTCTGCTGATGCCTTACATTATATACTAGCACAAGTTTTATACAATGAGTACGCAACCAATGTTAGTCAATAGTAAATACAAGGAGTCACATCACATGAGCATCTCACTTAACAAGGATCCAAGCTTGTGGACTCAGCAAAGAGAAAAGTAAAAAACAAAAACAACAAAAACCCCCAAAACAGCTTATAAGTCGACAGCCTTTGCCTTGTTCAGACTCAAACTTAGTTTTCCATTGTTCCAGGGGAAAGAAGGAGGAAAGGGGGCATTGGCAAAATGAAAGGGAATATGTTAGTAGCCAGCTGTTAAGCCCAGGATAATTGAGGGCATTTTTAAAAGACAGTTGTAACTCTATTTATGTTTCCCCTCGCCACTCATCTTAGGAAGATTAGCACCTCTTGTGTTCTGGATTTCAGTTAGCTAAGTGTCCTTAAGGAAGTGTTGAAATGAGAATTGTCTTTCTTTTTTTAGATGGAAAACTATTAACTTATTAAAGGAAACTTATACTTGTGGTATCTTTATACAAATTAAATGTTGATCTTGTGATAAAAAGAGTATTCTATTTTGAAAGGAAAGATTTTTTTTTTAATGTTTGTCATTTAACTATGTATAAGAATAGTCTTTAAACCTGAACTACCCTTCCCCCACCCCCCTTCTGTGTTTAGATTCTCTTCCTGGACATTCTGTCGCGCTCTGTTTAGCTGTGGCCTTTAAAAGTAAGGCAACCAATGATGAAATCTTCAGCATTCTGAAAGATGTACCAAATCCTAACCAGGATGATGATGACGGTAAGGGAATTAAATATTTCGTGAGTGGAACTATGTATAGGCCAAGTATAAATGTAACCCTGGCAACATGATGCTGCTGATAAAGCAGTATATCTTATTGACTTTTTAGCCTGTCAGTTGTTCTTAGCACCCCAGACATTTTCCCTCTTATATAAAAAGAGATCTTATATTAAAAAAAAAAAAACGCTCTGTGAAGTAGCTTACATTAAGAATATAAATTTCGACTGGGCATGGTGGCTCAGCCTATAATCTCAGCAATTTGGGAGGCCGAGGCAAGAGGATTGCCCAAGCCCGTGGGTTTGAGACCAGCCTGGGCTACATGGTGAGACCTCATCTCTACAATAAATCAAAAATTAGCCGGGTGTGGTAGCGTGTGCCTGTAGTTCTGGCTACTTGGAAGACAGGCGGAAGGATCGCCAGAGCCCAGCAAGTTGATGCTGGGTGGTCATGAGCATGCCACTGTACTCCAGTCTGGGTGACAGACTAAGACTCCTACTCAAAAAAAAAAGAATATAAACTTCATCCTAATGACAAAATAAAATATACTGTTGTTTTATATATTCCCTACTTTCACTATAGATAAGTTCCTGAGTGGAAAGACTTGATGTGTTACAAAATAGGATGTTTTCTTCAAATTAAGCTATTATCATATAATGTTTAACATTTACTGAGCTATATACCATATATTTCCTACCAGAATCCTAGGGTTTTTTTCTGGGCATGGATGGGAAAATTGGCAAAACATAAGTTTATCTGAATCAGTAAATGAATATGGAAAATAAAATGAGAGGCACTTATAAGAATTAAGATTAAGAACCACATATAAAAATTAGGATTATGCTTAATTTTATTTTTGAGTTTTTGAAATCAGTAGTAGTTTTTATTGTTTATTGTTTAAATTACATTGCACAAATGTCTGACAGTGTATGGATGTGAGCATGCTATCTGTTTAGCATTTGAGGTCAGGCACCAAGGAATTTCTTTACTTACATTTTTCTGTCTTGCTGTGAAATGTTTTTCAGATGAAGGATTCAGTTTTAACCCACTGAAAATAGAGATCTTTGTACAGACTCTGCTACATTTGGCAGCCAAGTCATTCAGCCACTCCTTCAGTGCGCTTGCAAAGTAAGTGTCACAAGAGCATGCAGCCTTTCTTGAGAATTTGGAACTTTGCTGGGTGAACATTAGTGTTATAGTAATTTTTACCTAAAATTTTGAATATGAAATCTTAATTGTACTATGTAATTTGATATTGTGGGTTTGGGATTGTGGTAGCTAAAATCCATATCCCATGGCTTTGCTCAGTATGTTTGTACAGTTTTTGCACATGTTCATGGAAAGTGTATTTTTTCATATAGACTTTTAGAGAAACTAGTGAAAATCTAGACTCTTAGGACAGTTATATATACAGTAAGAAGCTCCCACCCTGTTTAAGCATTTTCCCAAAGGAAAGTAAGAAGTGAGAACCAACTACATTGTTGGGAGCCACTTAAAACTTGGCATCTGAAGATCAGAGTCCAGAAGAAGAAAGAGTATATAGATTTTCCTCCAGCCAAGCAGACAAGCTGGACATTGTCAACCCATCTCAGATTCCAAGGCTCCGTATTACTTGCAGGGTTCTCACAAAAAGTGCATTCAGAATATTTCACCATGTTTGAAGATGGTTCCCTAGCCTTTACCTATTAGTTACATATTAAATTGTAGACCTAGGCTTAAAATAGTAAATTGTAAATATCTTAATATTTTGTGACAGCTTCCATATAAACTATGAAACTTTAATCATACCTTTTATATTTTTAGTAGTTAATATTTGGTTATTTTGCATTTGTGCATATATTGCATTAGAAATTGAGTAACATTGAAAAGGCTTTGAAAACATTAAAATGTTTAATGAATAAGTATATGTATCCCCCCCATTATCAAAAGGTTTTATGAAGTCTTCAAAACCCTAGCTGAAAGTGATGAAGGAAAGTTACATGTGCTACGAGTTATGTTTGAGGTCTGGAGGAACCATCCACAGGTAAAAATTATTTAATTAAACATGTTGAGGCTCTTGTCATATAGGCATAAAAATGAAGTAGTTATTACCCTTGTTTTGGTTTGTAAAACATGAAATTTGACTCTGCCTATAGAATGTTTTTTAAATCTATAATTTTTTTTAGTGCTGTGGGAGTAATGATGTTTAATTCATTCTTTTTTTTTTTTTTTTTTTTAAATCAGGATCTCACTTTGTTGTCCAGAGCCTCAGTCGCCTGGGCTCAAGCAGTTCTCCCACTTCAGCCTCCTGAGTAGCTGGGCTACAGACATGTGCCACCACGCCTAACTAATTTTTTTTATTTTTGTGTAGAAACAAGGTCTTGCTATGTTGCCTAGACTGAACTCAAACTCTTGGGGGTCAAACAGTCCTCCTATCTTGGCCTCCCAAAGTACTGGGATTGTAGGCATGAACCATCACACCCAGCCCTTGATTCATGTTTTAAAGAGCAAGTATTATGGTTTATTTTTAATAATACCTCAACACATTTAATTATTATTATTATTTTTTTTTTTTTTGAGTTGGAGTCTCACTCGTTGCCCAGACTGGAGTGCAGTGACCACTCCCGGGCCAC